AGGAGCTTGACGTAGATCAAACAGTTTAGAGCTGACTCTAATACCACTTGTCACGGGTCGAGACTTAAGCTATGAATCGACGCGACTCCGGGATCCGAACATCCACTCATCCGATGTCTCAGATCAGTCGAGCCATCATGGTTTACATCATCTCTTTCTTGTAAGATGTCTTGGGTAAGATAAAATCATAAAATCAAAAAAATCAAAATAAATAATACCTCACAAAAATATAAATCATAACAATTAAATTAATCTAAAATATTAAATAAATATATACTTAAATCCTATAATCATATAAATTCGAATTTTAAGTCTCGAATACATTCGTACTCACTCAATCATTTATCGGCAACGGTGACACAATAATTAATCTGTCCAGAAAGGATCAAGACCGGGCCCAAAGAAAATGATAATCTTTTTTCAGTAATGGAGTTGTTGCCAGCTTGGTGGGTGGTGGCATGTGGATGGTGGAGCATGGATACTTATGACTCTGACACAAAAAGAAACACTCCATCCCATGGCTGGATTTCCTCTTCTTGAAAGTTTTCATTAGTACCATAACATGAGCCTCTATCCCTATACATATTCTTTTGCCCCCTCTAATTGGGCGGAGGGGAGGGAAGGAAGAAAATACAGTCACTAAACATTACTGCTCACCAATTTAAAACCATGGATTTACTCATTTTCTTTGTTTCCTATTCTCTTCAAAATTAGAATCCTCCATCATATACTCATTTAAAACCATGCATTTACTCATTTACTCTTTAAAGATTGAACAAGTCGTAAAACTTATAAAAGATTTCACAAATTCTTTAATATTTTTTAAATTCATAAATCATTTACTAATAAAAAATTTTAAATTTCAATCACTTGTGTCAATCTTATTGACCTTCATGATCTTATATACCTCTAGACTATTGTAGTATAGTGCTACTAAATCGGTCCATCCTTTTTTGTGTTGTTGCAAATTATGAGTCGGTTCTGGATTTTTGCATATTCTTCATTCATCAAGGAGCGCTAAGTCGCTAACAAATTATAAAGAACCATAACTAATACAATTGGAGCCAACGGGGCGAAATAACATGTCAAATTAATTTATTTTTTAATGAAAAGTTGCTAAAGGGTATATACTGACACTGCTCAGACCGATTCGTATAAAGTTTCATTGACACTGTTATGAACAAAAGGGTGTCTTCCCTTTCAGCCAATGGAAAAGACAATATGAAATGGCAATGTCTGTCAAAGTGTTGAGCCTGTCAAAATCCTTACGTATAAAACTCTAATCAAATATCGGATTTGAAATTGTGCTATACCTGCTCATAATAGGCAGAGAAAATATAATATCATTAATTATATTAAAATTTAATTAAGTTAATTTATATAATTATTTTTAAAAAATAATGTTTAATAAATTTAAATTTTAAATCCTAATATTTATATAAATTTTTTTAATTTTTAAATTACAATCTATTATGTACAAAAAATTAAAGGTGTAGTAGCGAATAATTAGTAAAATCAAAAGAAATCTTTTGTATTATACATTTTTAATTAACATCATCATGCACGCACATGTAACGAATACGAGCAATAAGAAATATTGGGAGAATTATTTGTTTAATTGATTAGTCCACATGATGATCATGATTTGTGAGCTATTGCACATGTAAGGCAGATTGAGGAATATAAAGGCAATTCTTTTACAAACTTTTCTACTATTATACAATTATTTGTTTAATTGATCACATGATCATGACTTTATATATCAAACAATATTAAACTCTAAAGTCTTGAACCTTTCATCATAAAGGCAATGCTTTTACAAACTTTTCTTTCTTATATGGCGGAGTGTTCCCACTCCAGAAAAAAAGAAGTTCAAATATGTAACATTGTCATTTGGTTGTCATATTTATTAGTTTTTCTCTATTAATAACTATAGAGTACATTTGAAACCAAAAGTGATTTTTTTTAAATAAACATTTTGAAGACAAAAAATATGTGAATTAGTGTTTTTTCCTTTTTAAATTTCACGCGGTCAATTTATGTGAACAAAATTTCAACAATGGCAGGCGGACCACCGATGAGTTAGTTTCCATGGCATAGTTCATAGTGGACTTAAATTTTGAATAAAGTTTAATGTTAAAAACATTTGTAACTAGCAATAATGAAATTTAATATTTTTTGTATAAAAAAATTATAACATGGGAAGATGAAGAGTAGTTATATATATTAAAATTTAAAATTTATATTTATTAAATAAAAATAACTTATGTTTTTTTATAAAGTTCAAAAAACTTTCCATTATTGGTACGAAAATTCCTACATATCTTAAGTTTTCCTCCACAAAAAAAGAAAAATGATGGTAATGGATTTAGCCTGCCAGGTCACATAGAAAGTGACTGCTCATGAATTCATTCAGAGAAAGAAACAGAAAACAAAGTCCCTATCATGGTGTGTTTATCCGTGGTGTGGGTCCCTGAACGAGGTGGGTGAGAATATGAAAGCAATCTCAATCTGCAAATGCAAGAAAAATTTGCTTCCAAATATACCCACCAGCTCAAATTTGTACTCTTGTGTGCCTCTTGTTTATGTAGTTTCTTTCTAACATGTTGGATTTGATATATCACATATCGATGCAGTTACAACAGCACTGCTCAATTCACATTATTTTTATTACTACCAAACAAATAGTCCAAGACAAAGATTTTGATCAGAACTCGCATCTGAATTACAGCTCTGGCTCATTAAAAAAATTTGCAAAATCAATGATTAAATTAATAAGGAAGGTGAGAAAAAGTCAGTATCATTCAGTAACCCAATTAAATTAATTTCCTTCTTTCTTATTAAACATATACTTTTGTTTTGAAAACAATTACACGTGATCTAACATGTGAAAGTGGAAGTGGGTCTAATAATAACAATATCTTAGGTTATATGGATTTTAGTGTTTATATATAATTTGGTATTAAGAAGAGTGGTTGAGATTCTATTTTTTGGATCCAAATGCAAGAAATCATTAATACATATTTATAATCTTTTAATTTGATTTATTGTCTTCATTAATACAATTACATATAACTTGAGAGATTAAGCTGCATGCTTAATGGATTGTTTAAACTTCTAAATTTGTGGGTGATTTCATCTTGCAAAAATAAAAAGAGAGAGCTTAGTAATTAATTATCAATTTAATACCATAAAAAAGAAGAAATTTTGAGGAGGGGAATGTTTTAGCTAGCTGCTTATATTCTTCAATTGCTTACCACAAAATGGTCATTTAATTTGTAGGCAATAATGAAAAAGTTTTTTTTTTTTTGGGGGACCAATCAATTATGGAGAAAGATGAACGTTACTCTTTTGATGACTCATATCATAGTCAATAGTCAGATCCATTTTGCCAGAAGAAAGAGAAAGTAGGCCTTGTTTGGTCAAGTTCAAGAGTTTAACCAGCAAAGGGAATCTCTTCAGCAATCATACAAACAGGATAAGTCAGGACCGCATAATTCAATGTTCCTTTATCTGTCCACTTAGTTATGAATAAGTGCAGTTAAATATCTCTTCTGATTAATTCTTACAATATCCTTCTTGTTATTTTTTTTTAATTATCAAAAATTAAATTTTAATATGTTATTATTAAGTCAAATTATTGTTGGTTACAAAATCTTTTTTTATTCTTCTTATTTTTTCTTCAAATTTTCTTTAATTATCACAATCAAATTTTATAACATGAGACAAATAAAAAAAAAATGACTATGATTATAAATGTGCTATTTAAATTAAATATTCAATCCAAAATGATTGGTGAAAAAAGAAATGTAAATACAACAAATTTTGGCATTCCAAGATAACATTTTTTTTAAGCATTTTATCTTGTGATTGTAATTAGTTGAGTGTTTTGGTGAAATTTATTTTTCAGTGTGATTGGATGTTAAATGAAAGGTGATATAAGGTTAAGTATTAAAAAATAATTTCATTTTATTTTGATATTATAATAATTTCGATGTGATACGTACGATGTTAGATTACCAGAAATGATTAAAAGATTTAGGTTTTCTTGTAAATAACATTTAGTATATTTTTTAAAATATTGTAGTGATTTAATTATCTTGATAATAAAATTATTAAAGTAATTTAATTATTAGTGATTTTAAATTATTATATTTGATATAATATTATAGATTATTAATACTTTTATTTGATATTATATGAAAAATAAGTCATATAGTCTAAAATGTCTAAAATAAATTAAAAAAAATTAATATTTATTGAATCAATAATTTATAGAATAGTTAAACATTATTTTATAAAAAATTATAAAATATAAATCAATTCGAAAAAAATATTTTTTAAAAAATTTATTAAATAAATTCAATATTTTTTATAGTCAACATAAATTTATATCATAAAATCTTTTTGAGAATAATTGATTGAAAAATCGACTTTTAAAATTTTTATTGATCAATTTTTTAGGATAATATTAATTATATTTTTTATGAAAGAAAATTTATTAAAAAATAATATTAAAAATTACTTTTCATAATTTTTTTAAGTTGAGACTTAGATCATTTTTCAAAATAATAATCCTACTATCTAAATAATTTAAAATTATTGTCATATAAAATTTTTAAATTATGATCAAATAAAGTAATATAATTATTGAATATAAATATTATAATTTTGAACAAATTAATCATCCAATATCAAATATTCTCTTAAATGATTTTCACCAACGAGTCAGATAGTATTAAAACTAATCCTTTCACAAATCATTTAAAAGAAATATTAATTTTAATAAATTATTATTATTATTAATAAATGAGATATATTTGTCAATTAACTTTTCAAAAAATACATGATATTAAAACTGATAATAAAAAATTATGAATTTAAAACCCCTTGCATTTGTAATATCAATTCCATCAAATGGTAAGCAGTCAAATCACCGCACCACAGTTAACTGCGTCCAAACAAAGAAAATTAATGACAAAAACGTGCCCAACTACAACTCAGGGTCTCCCAAAATTTTTATCTCTTCTTTCACTTAATAAATACATTAAATCTTTGTCCGGAGGGGATAAGCTCATTTGCTCTCTCTCATTTCCACAGGAAAAATCAGAGACGAGAAAGGTAAAAGAGAAGAGAGTAGCCTTTATTTTTGGTTGATTTTGCTTGCAAGGCCTTTTTTTTTTTTTTTTTTCCAACCATTTCCCCGATCCTAAATCCGAAAAATTCCTTTCCCTCCAATCCATTAACCAAATCTTGCATTGATATTGTTTTCTTGCGTTCATCCTTTCTTGGAAACCAAACGCCTTTTTGCGTTGTTCTTTGTTGGCTAACGGCAAAAAAAAGGATAGATTTTGATTCCGAAAAAGTGTCGAAATTCAAAGTTATTTGTTCAAAAGAAGGAAAAAGTTAAAGAAAGAGAGAGTTTTCAAAAGAAAAAAGTGGTCGAAATTTAATATCAAGATGGCGCAATTTGGATTGAAACGGAGTGTTTTGAGATCTATAATGTTGAACTTCCTCAACTTTGGTTTAGCTTTCATGTTAATTTCAGCTGAGAGAAGCTTGAAGCATGGAGAATCCACCAAGGAATCTGAAACAAATAATAATTTTTTCCTCAAAGCTATTAATTTCTTATGGCAATCTGATGAATCAGGTTATCAGCATGTTTGGCCTGTAAGTATATATTCCAACCTATAACCTTATATTATAAAAATGTATTTTTATTCTTCATTTGATTATTATTTGTAGTATTTTGAACTTTTTTTAATTTTTAATTTTTAATTTTGTTATAGGAAATGGAATTCAATTGGCAAATTGTGCTGGGAAGTATAATTGGATTCTTTGGAGCAGCGTTTGGGAGTGTAGGGGGAGTTGGTGGAGGTGGCATTTTTGTTCCTATGCTTAGCCTTATTATTGGATTTGATGCAAAGTCCGCCACAGCTATTTCAAAATGTAAGATGATGAGTTGTTAATCTTTTTTCTTCTTTGCAAGAATAAATAAATAAATAAATAAGAATACACTTTGATTTGGACTGATGTGATTTTAGAATTAAGAGATTTAAAGAAGGTAGTACACATTTTTATGAAGCTGACAGTAATGGGAAAAAAAGTGAAACGGTAATGTATTTTCCTTGTCACTTTTCAAGAGAAAGGGTCTGCCTAATTATCTGCTTTTCTCCTAACCCTTTCTCATCTGGTTTTATCTGTAGGAATCCCTTGAATTTACACGAAAAAAATGGAACTTATAACTAAAAATTTATTGAAGGATTCTGTTGTTGAATCAGAACGCTAATTTTCTTTTTAAATTGTGAAAGCCCGGAAGTGAACTGAAAACCTCTCAGAATTGCTCATGCCCCATAATTTCAGTGATTGAAAATTGCAGTTACAATTTGTTTGTAAGCTATCTGTGATTTTAAGATTTTGGAATTTCCTTGCCAGGACAGAAGAAGAGAAATAAATAGGTGTATTTAGATGCTTCCAAAACTTATCTAAGTTCTAAATGCAGCCTTTGGAGAATTTTGGGTGCTCTTAAGAAATTATTAGCAAAATTGTTAGTAAACAAGATGATTCTGTTAAATACTAGATGAGTTCATTCATTATATGTTTTTGGCTTTTTCCTAGGTATGATCATGGGTGCAGCAGCTTCAACTGTTTACTACAACCTTAAGCTAAGGCATCCTACAATTGATATGCCTATAATCGATTATGATTTGGCTCTGCTTATCCAGCCAATGCTCATGCTGGGAATTAGTTTAGGAGTCGCTTTTAATGTGATCTTTGCGGATTGGATGGTCACAATTTTACTTATTATTCTCTTTATAGGTAATAATTTACCGATTTGTTATTGTATTTGCTGGGCATAATGTTCTTGTAGCTCTATTTGTTAAATTCGATGGATTGGATGGCTTGCAGGAACTTCAACAAAGGCATTCTTCAAGGGTGTTGAAACATGGAAAAAAGAAACCATACTGAAAAAGGTAATTTTGCTAGCTCATAGTCTCATACTGAGGTGCAGAGAATTTTGAGCTCTGTATAGTTTTTTCTCCATTCCATTGTGATTTAAAAAAAAAATTCCTCCCATAATACTTTAAATAAGTTCTCTCCATTTTTATGAATGAGCAATTAAAAGATTTCGAAGATGTTTGATATTAAAATATCATAATTGCTGACAACTTGGATAATTTTATTCAGAATGTTGTGCATTTGTTGCTTAATCCGGTAGTAAGAAAGAGGAAACTTTCTCATTCAGTTGAGGTGTTTTTATATTATTAAAATTAATTGCTAACCATCTGAATGCTGCTTGTCTTGGATTTTAGGAGGCTGCCAGGCGTTTGGTATCAAATGGTCAGTTGCCTTTTTCCTTTAATAAGTTCTTAAGATCATTGGTGATCCTTTCCTCATGACTTTCCTTCTGAAATAAGCCCATATATTTCTCATGTGATATCAGATGCTGGTAGTGGAGATGTGGAATACAAGCCTCTTCCTGGTGGCCCAAACAGTGACCCTCCAAGGGATAACACAGACAAAGAAGTGGGTTGACTGTAATCACCAATCCTGCTGTTATTCAGTTCCAATTTTTCTCAAAATTAATTTAATGTAATCCTTGCAGATCACTGTTTGGGAGAATGTTTGTTGGAAAGAATTTGGGCTTCTTTGTTTTGTTTGGGTTGCATTCCTTGCACTGCAGATTTCCAAGGTTATGTTTCTTCCACTCTATTTATTGTTCAAGTATTTTCAGAATATGAATTATTGAGGCGTAACTGATAAATTATGACTTTTGGCAACAGAATTATACAACTACTTGTTCAGTAGCGTATTGGGTTTTGAACTTGTTGCAGGTACATTCTATCGTTTTCACCTCTATTGCTTCTTTCCATGAAAATTTCTTTGAAAACTGATTTAAGGCGTTCTTTCTGTTTTTCAGATCCCAGTTTCAGTTGGGGTATCTCTGTATGAGGCAGTTGGTCTTTATAGAGGATGGAGAGTAATTGCATCCAAGGGAGATCAAGGCACAAATTGGCGAGTGCATCAGCTTGCTACCTACTGTGCTTTTGGAGTGCTAGCCGGAATCGTTGGTGGTCTACTCGGCCTAGGTGGAGGATTTATCATGGGTCCTCTATTCTTAGAGCTGGGTGTCCCTCCTCAGGTGAGTTGCTTTCTTTCCTTCAGACGGGTGCCATGAAGTTATTGTTAGAAAAAATAAATAAGAGAAGAAAAATGATATAAAAAAATTTTGATTTTGAAGCATAAAAAATATATTTTTAAATATAATTATGTTTTTAGAATACAAAAAAATTTTGAATTCTTCAATCAGAAATAATGAAAATAATTATACTAAAAATTTTATATATAATGAATGAACAAATAAACTTCTAGTCAAATGATTATAATTTTTCTGTATAATTATGACCTTTATGAATAATAATTTATTTATATTCTAATAGCTATGATCATTTGTCATATGATAATTATTTTTGTTCAAACATAATTATTTAAAATATGAATAAAATTAATACAAAAATTAATTTTACTCATCAATAATTAAATCTTTTTATCTAATGTAGGATGCATCACATTCTAAATTACCAACAATCCTCTTTAGCTTGGAATGTTGGTACTTAATCTTTAATCTTTTATACAAATAAATATAATGAATACAAAAAATTATCTCTTGATTTAACCTTCCAATTAACGTATATATCTTAAAATTCTAACGAAGTTGATGTTATCTGTAAATTAAATCTCAATTTCTAATGTTATAATTAAATATATAACACATAATACTTATTTTTTTGTCATAGGTTTTTAATTACTTTTAGCACTATTTTAATCATGTGCTTATCTTATTCATGAACGTTTACAAGAGAGATTTTAATTCTTCTTGTTGAAACGACACTTTTATTTTTATATTGGTAGAGTTTTCATTATGTCTCTATTGCTTTAGTCATTTAAAACTCCATTAAGAGTATAAAAACTCATCCTCCATACACAATGGATCATATTAGTTTTTAAAATTTGAATGAATTTTACTAGTATTTAATAGATACATAACAATAAATTATTTTACTCATTAAACTTTGTAATTAGAGATTACTAATTCAAAGTTGGGTTCCTATTATTGGTGTCTGATAGTAAGGGTTTAAGTTCATTATACTTGTAGTACTATTAAATAAATATCTTGAAATTTAATTTTTTTTTATGGTAATTACCTCCACTTGAGATTGAATTTTTAATATAATAATTGCAGGTTAATATATCCAAACTTTTTTTTTTATATCATTTATATGCTTTAGACATTGTTATCTTATTCTTATCATTTTAAGAAATAGTTAGTTTTGGTTGTAGCCACAGCTCTATTATCATAAATTTTAACCATTCTATTTTCATATTTTTATACATCTTTAATACAATTATACTTTTAGTATAATTGGATAAATTTAATAAATAAATCAAATTATTTTAGTACTTTTAAGATTTTTAAGGACTTTTTTATGATTTTACTTTAATCAGTGTATTAAATTTATTAAATTGTATAATTTGTTCATAAAATTATACTAAAATCTAACAACATTATGGTGACAATTTTTATTTATTTATTTATTCTTATCACCCTATCATGTGCAAGTATGCACTCTTTTATTAAAGAATTTTTCATTCAATTATCAAGATATCATATATATACTTAATCAAGTTGTCATTTTATTTATCTTTTCACTATTTGGTAATTTTTTTTTTTTTAAATAAGAGGCATTCAAATCCACCTTTAATAAAATAACTAGCAAATATTCTATATCTTAATAAATCTTTTTCATAAAAGTTTTAAAACTTTTATATTTTAACTCAATATAAGAGTTTACATCAATAAGCAGATTTCAAATATAATCATGCGTATATAGTTTCCTTTTAAGATTTTTTATGTCAATTCATAAATATTTATATGAATCTATTTCATCATAGACACAATTAATAATTTATTTTTGTTTTACCATGAATAAAACCATTTTCATCACATAAATGGATCAAATAGTATTCCTTTTGCTATTATAAAAGTTTTGGTATTCACAAAATTTTTGAATCACTCACAGCTTCTAAAGTAAATATATTTAAAATTTTTCACTATATTTCAAAACTTTTAATAAAACCATAGATGATAAATCATTTGTATAATTCATGAATTAAATCATATACATAATAAAAAATTATCACAATGTGATCAAGATTGTAGCATCAATTTTGGCGTATGGCTATTTTAAGCCAACCATAATAATCTATATTATACCTACAAATCATGTAGATTTGGCTATTTAAATCATTGCATTTATAGTGATGGCTTTTAGTGAGAACCAACTATCTCAAATGTTATCATGAGTTTTCAATGCATATATTAATTGCTCAATGGTCAATTTCAAGTTCATGACGATTGAAACCTTTAAACTTGATTTCAAAATTTTATGAGAATTTTATTCTCCACCATTATGCAACCTATATATATCTCTGTTATTTATCATTTTTAATTGGTCATAACATTTTCGAATATATAATAAATTCAAACTTTATTCATAGGACTAATATACCCATGTATAATAAGAGTTTATAGTATATTTAACTTCCAATTTCAAGTACTTTTACAATCATTTTGTGATCAATATGTTTATATCTAGATCATCAAATCAGCGCAAGTCATGAAACATAAATCCAAATAATCATTTTCATAAACTAGCATAAAGAATAATTATAATATGAGTTCTACTCATATTTCATGCAAAATCTCGTGATGAATTTGCATTAGTTAAATCATTGATTGTTTAACTCTAAGGTTACGGCTTTCACAAACCAATATTATTATCTAAGCACATATGTTAATATGGTGTATAATCAGTTACATTTTTGCCATTGTCATGACACTATTGAAAACCTCGAAAATTGGTGTACTTTTCATTTTAATAGCTTGCAAAAAGTCTTTTTTTCGGGTACAAAAAGCAAATTTTTTCATTATCTTTAATCGATAATGTATTAATTGGATAATGACATTCTATCTCTATAATCTATATCTTTCTTATATTTATAAGAAAAAAAATCTCATCCCATTCATTTCATTTTCATAATATATGACAAACTATACCAATATTCTTCAATGCATCACAAAATGGAATTAAACACATATGTACTGGTCTCTTTAGAACATTTAATTTGCATGTTCATTTCTAATTAGACATTAATAAACATCTTTTAAAATGCTAATAACTGACAAATGCTTTAATATTTTTTAATGACATGTCTTTTCTTTTAATCAATATCTCATATGCGAAAAGAAACAATGCTTTTGTGTAACCATTTATTAACTTTTTGATGGCTATTTATGATTTTCATTTTGTGAGTGTTCACAAGAAAATTTTATTTTATAAAATCACTTTAATATATAACATTTAGGCAAAATACATGTCACATTACCCATGTTTTTTATAATAACAATTATTTGGTTTATTATCCACCAATTAATCCATGAAACACTATATTTTAATAAATTTTCATGTACATCCATTTAATTTTAATTGGTTTTCATGAAAATTGAGCATTAGTCAAAATTTGAACCAATAATAAAATTAAAAAAAAAATCAACGTTTGATTTATAAACGATAAACAAAGATAAAAACCATACAAAGAGCTTGAGTTAACTTATTATCTCAATTTTTGTGTCATGATTTAAAAAAAATTAATATTATAATCAAATCTTATTTTCTACATATATTTTTTACTTATATCTAATTTTTTTATGATAAATTCCTTGATCCCAATCTTTATAAGTATCGATTTTTCAAATAGATATAATACAATTCATTAAACCCAATTGTGTAGCCAATTTCAGTATATGCATAAACTTATGCAATGTAATCAATATTTCGTATATTTTGTTTTAATTTTACACATTAATTAAATTAATTGTTAATGTATTTATCTTATTCAGTCAATCTTTCTACTAGCAATTATGCAAAAAACAAAATGCATACCTCTAATGAAGATATTTATGAAAATTAATATTTGGTCCATGAAAACATTAATCCTTTGACATTGAGCTTATTCTAATAATGATCTCCAAACTATGTCAAATTCTTTTTCTTGTATATTTTTCATGCGAAATATAAATTTTTCATAATTATTTTTGAATTATTAGAAAAAATAAATAAAAGAAGAGAAATAATAGAAAATAACTTTAGCTTTGAGGCGTGAAGAACACTTGCTTAAAGATAATTATACTTTTAAGATATAATAAAGTCTTAAACTCTCCAATCAGATGTAGTAAAAATGATTATGTTAAAAGATTTATTTATAATAAATGAACAGACATAAATTTTTATTCAAATGATTATGATTTTTTATATAATCATGATTTTTATGAATAATAATTTATTTATACTCAAATAATTATGATAATTTATCATATAATAATTGTTTTTGTTCGAACGTGATTATTTAAAATATAAATAAAATTCATATAAAAATTAACTTTATTAATTAATAATTAAATATTTTTATCTAATATGGGATGCACCATATATTAAGCTATCAATAGTTATGACGTTGAAGTTTTTCCGAAGGGATATAACTTGAAATGATGGCAACATGAAGGGAAAATCAGTGCTTGTCTCATTATGACCGTGAAGTTAATCGATTGTTAATTCTGATCTTTGGGGCTTCTTATTGACTTCTGTGCAGGTCTCAAGTGCTACTGCTACCTTTGCCATGACTTTCTCCTCGTCCATGTCGGTTGTAGAATATTACCTTCTGAAACGTTTTCCGGTACCTTATGGTAAGTTGGGAACTTACAACAACATGATAATTTTATTGAAGTTTCTTCTCATCATTTGGAAATAACAGGGAACATCCAAACCTGCGAGGGATGTGATGGGGTAGGGGGTAGTGGTGTCATCAATCTTGTCTCTAGATGAGCATATGGTTGTTTCACGTGTTTCTGGAGTTACATATTTCGTACTTTATTTGGCAGCTCTCTACTTCACTGCAGTGGCTACTGTTGCTGCCTTTATCGGACAGCATGTTGTCAGAAGGCTGATAATTGTATTTGGAAGGGCATCTCTAATTATCTTCATTCTAGCCTTCACAATTTTCGTTAGTGCAATATCACTAGGTGAGCTTTGATTTCCTGTTAGTGGTTTGATAAAGCACACTTTTTTCATTCTTCGAACTACGAAAAATTCTACAAATTCTCAAAATATATTTTCCTTTTTTTTGCTAGGTGGCGTTGGCATATCAAGCATGATAGGGAAGATTGAGCGAAAGGAATACATGGGATTTGAAAACCTCTGCAAGTATGAAGGCTGACATGTCAGTTTTTTTTCTCATTTGATCCTCTAATCCCCCCTCTCATTAGTCCAATGTTACTTTTGTTTTTCAAAGGCAACAGAAATTGCCTTCCATTTATTCCATTTCTTTGGTTGTGGGGAAGAAAGAAAAGCAGAAAAGAAAAACAGAGACTTTTAGGGATGTTCCATGTTATATTTAACAGAGACTCTCAGGGATGTTCCAAAAAAAAAAAAGGGAAAAACAGAGATATCTAGCGACAAACTTCAGACTTGTTTGTTTGTAATTTTGTATTGTTTGGAGGTTTATTTCCCCATCCTACCTCGTGTCAAAGCACCCTCATGCCGGAGACATTACATTGGCTTATTCGCACCCAACAGATTCAAGACAACCTTGACTCTGGATTTTAAGACTAATAATTTTACAAATTTCAATGGCGTTTGTGTAATGGTCTGTCACCTTTGCAGAACAACAATCATCTAAACCTGGCATGATTTACAGAATATTTCATCATTTCGAAAACCCTTTTGTATGGCTTATCAAGCACACTTTCTTGGGTTCAAAACAAAGGGGCTTTGTCAATAATCAAGATCTGTAGCTGTCTTCTGCAGGGAGTTTCTACATTCTACCATATCGTGCTTTAAAACAGGAGGGATGGGTTGGATGAATTGTTAAAACTTGACATTTCATCAAACAACTCTTAACGTATCAGATTTCCTTCCTACAGGCATGCGCAAAATTTGAGAGGCATTTGCGAAGAAATTTGTTAACAGGCGACCAACCCTGAAGACCAGCACGAGTTAATATGGAGTCTTTAGTCTTTAGTACGAAAGACGAGCAGTGCAATCATGCATGCGTGCAAGCAGAGGCAGAGAAACAAGATGGTGCTTTGAGGTGACAGTGTGCTCCAGGCATGTTTCTATAGGCAGATTTAGGCTCATTTGATATTAGAAATAGTCAGTTATTATGGTTACCATTGAAAAAAAAAATTACTATAGTTATAATTGAAAAAATTTTTTAATCAAATATTTATATTAAATATATTTTATTAAAATTGATATTTAAATTCAATTAATATTATAATTCTAATAAAATTTATTCAACATAAATTTTTTATTAATTTTTTATCATAATTATAATAAATTTTTTAATAATAATTATAATAATATATATTTTTTTTTAATTTCATCAAAATCAATTTTACCACTCAGACGTTCCTTGGTAATACCATGCAATCATATTCTCTAAATTTCTTTCAATGCTGTCGTAAGCGGCAGGTAGAACAATAACAATAATTTTCTCGTGGGGCAAAAATTGGCAGGTAGAACAATAATTTTCCCATGGGACAAAAATAGACAACTGTGACAAAGAATCATTGATTGATGCTGCGAAATTTCATCAGATTGGATTCCTTTGGGCCCTTTATAGGATTTATTTTGGTTCGCAATTTTCTTTACCACTCCAATAATAGACTTCGATTCATTTTTCTGTTTTTCAAATTGTAACATCTCAAGAAATGAACTTTTATTTGCATATACTTGCAGCTTATCTATTAACTAGAAACGGTAGTAGATATTTTCATGCTAGTATATGTAATCTCACCGAGTACGAGACTGCCACAAGGTACAAATGCCTTTGCTACACATAAAATCAATGTTTCAATCGCCATTGATATGTTCCAATGCCAAGTACTGCTAAAGTTCATCAGGAATTAATTAGAAGTAAAGAAGAAATAAGCTCATAAAGGATTGCATCTTTTGCTCTAAAACGTAGAGAGAATATTGTCAGAGCCAGAAAAGGAGAAACCTTTCAGTCTTATAATAATAATAATAATAGCTTTTTGAACATTTCCTCATCTTTCTCTTCAAGAAGTTGACACTAAACCTTGCAATCTGCTTCTCCAACTCTCACAATATTTTCTTGGGTGCTGATGGCCGTCTTTGTACCTAAATGGAGTACTGCAAGATTTCTTTTGATAGCTTTTTTCTGCTCTCTGTTTCTTTTTGTGCTTGTTTCTGGTGCAAGCAGAGTGAAAAATAAAGCTTTGAATGATGGAGAAGGCGCCACATCTAATACTCTTCTACGAGTCATGATTTCTTTATGGCGGACCAAACAATCTGGTAATCAACATATTTGGCCGTAAGTTTAATTTGTGACTTGTAGTAGGCGTTGTTTCAATCATGTTCTTTACTTCTTTTCTGTTTTCTACTCTTCAAACAAGCTGTCAGATTACAGCTTCAATATCTTTTTATGTCTCAAAAAATGTATATCTATTTTATATGTACGTATGTTCCACATCACCCACTTCAATGAATGTGCTATTATCCTTTTTGTCAAACTACCCTTCAGGAACTGGAATTTAGATGGCAAATTGTTGTTGGTACTGCGATTGGATTCTTTGGAGCAGCATTTGGAAGTGTAGGTGGTGTTGGTGGTGGTCGTTTTTTCGTTCCAATGCTGAGTCTAATCATTCGGTTCGATCAAAAATCATCAACAGCTATATCAAAATGTATGAGCCAATGCAAATCTATCTCAGGATGTAATTTGGTCCTCATAGTTAGAAACTATAATACATGAAAAAGTTTGGGCATAGACTATTCGTAGACTGCTTGATATTATTTCCTGCTGTTTTAGCTGAGCTAATACTTTTGAGTCTTTCACTTCCCTATGATAGTGGCAATCTTTCCTTTAGGCAGTTTGCTTGAATGTCGCTTCCGTTAGTTCAGGTATGATCATGGGGGCAGCAGCCTCAACCGTTTAATATAATTTTAAGGCAAAGGCATCCCATACTTGATATGCCCATGATTGACTATGATTTGGTGTTGATTATCCAGCCGATGCTGTTGTTAGGCACTAGCATAGGAGTGATATTCAATGTGATATTTCCAGACTGGACAGTCACAATCCTGTTAATTCTTCTCCGCACAGGTAATTTTAATTGAGCTAGAGTTGCCTGCGGCCCTGCACTATATTCTGCTTTAGAAACAATGGAATACCCCAGATGGATTATGATGGTCTGCAGGTACTTCTTTTAAGGCTTACTTTAAGGGTGTTGAGACGTGGAAAAGGGAGACTGTATTGAAACAGGTTAATAAATACTGGTATATGTTATCTGAATAACATAAAAAAAGAAATTATTTTCTGTAAATCTAATCTATATTTAACAACATCAAAAAATTGGATTTTGGATTGGTTTCATCGTTGCATAACTGCAGGAGGCTGCTAAGTTGTTGGAATCATGTGGTGAGCTTATTCAGTACTCTTGGCTCTTCCTGTCTCTGTAACAGAATTCATAGATCAAACCTTGCTTATATACTTGCTCTTTTTTTTTTCCAAGAGAATGCGACTCCAATCGCATACAAAACTGTTCCTGGTGGTCCAAGCAATAAACCTGGAAAGGAAATTGAGAGACGAGAGGCAGGTAAACTTTGGTAAGTTTTAGTCCTGCGATAACTATCTTAATCTTCGAACATTATTTGCTACTAAAATGCAGGCAGGAATACTTGAAAACATTCGTTGGAAAGAACTTGGACTACTCAGTTTCGTTTGGTTTGCATATCTTGCTGTTCAGACTGCCATGGTTATGTTCTTTCTTTCTTTCTTTCTGTCCTCACATGTTTATAAGAATCTTTTTCAAAACTAATTGATAAAGCATGTTATGTTTGTAACAGAATTATACAACTACTTGTTCAACATCATACTGGGCATTAAACTTGTTGCAGGTACATACCCCACTCCCCTACTAACTTTATATATTGCTGATTAAGGTCCTATTCTGATAATTAATCTTACATTTGCAGATACCAGTATCTGTTGGGGTATTTCTGTACGAGGCAATTGGCCTGTACGAAGGATGGAGAGTGATTGCCTCCAAGGGAAATGAAGGCACAAATTGGAAAGTGTACCATCTTGTTCTATGTTGTGCTTGTGGCATGGTAGCAGGAATAATTGGTGGACTTATCGGAATAGATGGAGGATTTGTTATGAGTCCACTCCTTTTGGGGCTGGGAATTCCTCCTCAGGTAACATATAAGTCATGAGAAATAAATTGGTCTAGTCTAGAATATTCTAGATATTTCATTTCCAAAAATTAGAAGCAATTGTTTTAGTTTGTTCAGGCATGCAACATTCTGATTTCCGAATGGATTGCATTGCACAGGAAATCTTATAAGGGATTTCAGGAAGAATCTTAACTATATATTTTCACAGGTCGCAAGTGCCACATCCACATTTGGGATGACCTTCTCCTCATCAATGTCTGTTGTAGAATACTGCCTTCTGAATCGTTTTCCAGTGCCTTATGATGAGTTGGTGTCATGCCATTGATTTTCAACTTTGTTCTAGCATCTTTACAAAGGGGAGGAAAAAGGGTTGTTTTCAATCAAATTCTTTCTTCAACTTCTGGCAGCTCTAGACTTCATTGCTGTTTCCATCATTCCCGCCTTAATGGGTCAGCACATTGTCAATAAGCTGATCAATTTAACCGGAAGGGAATCCATAATCATCTTTGTTCTAGCCTTCACAATATTTGTCGGTGCAATTTCACTGGGTGAGAGCATCCTACAGAATTCTCATTTCTCCAGTAGTCTTTCAGCATCCTAGACTGAAAGGAACTACTCAATTCTTATGACATTATTTTTTGCCCTTCTTTTGTTTGTGATTTGTAGGGTGGGTTGGCATATCAAGCATGATTCAGAAGATTGAGCAAAATGAGTACATGGGATTTGAGAACCTCTGCCAATACGAGGGATAGCAATACGTCACGGTGCGCGCGCTGGTACTCTATAACACTCTGCCCGTGACAACAAATCGCATTTGTTCTACTGCTTGCTTGGCTTTGTTTCCTAGTGTTTTACTCCGATAACCAAACAGACCATGATTTATTTATTTAATTGAAGACCGTGGTTGGAACATTTTTTTTTTTTTTTGGTCCTGAACAAATAAATAATGCCTATATTTAATTATATTTTCTTTCGTTAGGAAAAAAAAAAAAGAAAAAATAGGTTACTTGTATCTCTATTGACGTGCATGTCCATGCATAATTATACAGTAGTTATTGATAACATTAGCTTATATGATGTATATTGATCATATTTCTGTCATGGGTTTGAGAGGATTTAAAATTTGAGAGTAAATTAAGTAAAATTTGAGAGTTTAAGTGTGAATTAAAAAATTTATAAAAATAAAAGTTATTAACATTTGGTATAAGATACTGTCAATTTTTTGACATTTCATTATAATATTAGAAACAAAATATGAAACTTAAGATTATAATAGAAAAACATAAAAAATTATATAATAACTCAATTAATTTAATAAGAGTGCACATATAATTTGTAAATAAAAATCGTAAATACCACATTATACACCCAAGTAAAATATCACAAATTTAAGAAAAGAAAAAAAAAAGAGAAAAATTGATAAAAAAGAATAATATTATATTAATAAAATAAGCCTGTCGGCGGTGGTAGCTTAACAAAACTGCTGTTATTTGGGAAAAAAGAAAAAAGGCAAGCACCATACAGCGATCAACGTTTTCTGATCTCCAAACATATACCTAACGGGAGGGGATATTTTGTCTTTGATCTCCTACTAGAGGAAAGGAAAACAAGAGAAAAAAAATGGTGTTTTACTTCAAAGCCCGACCAGAGGCTGGCGATTACACCATCTTCATGGGACTCGACAAGTACGAGAACGAGGAACTCATCAAATATGGCTTCCCCGAAGACATTTGGTATTTTTCTTAATTTGTTGTTTTTTTTTTTTTTCAGATTTCATCATCTGTGCTATAAATGAAGGGTCTATACATTTTTTTTATACACTTTTCTTGTTATTTAGAAAATTGGGTGATTGAATTTAGCTTTATTACAGGTTCCATGTGGATAAAATGTCTTCTGCCCATGTTTATTTGAGACTTCAAAAAGGTCAAACCATCGATGATATAAGTGAAGGTTTGCTCGAAGATTGTGCTCAGCTTGTTAAAGCTAATTCCATCCAAGGTTTATTTTAATTTCATCAGTTTTCCTTTTTATTTTTTTTATGAAATGTAATTTAAATACGTTTGATGTAATAAGTTGCAATTTTTTATTTAATTATTATGTGAGGTCAGGCAACAAAGTGAATAATATTGATTTTGTTTACACTCCATGGTCCTATTTGAAGAAGACTCCTTCCATGGATGTTGGCCAAGTTGGCTTTCACAATTCTAAGATGGTAAACTTCTTTGTTACTTTCAGTATTATTGTTACTATTTTTGTTCATGTGTTTTCTTCTAGGGTGGATGTTTGTCTGATTTTATTGTTTGATTTAGGTTCGGACTGTGAAAGTGGAGAAGCGGATAAATGAGATAGTTAACAGGTTGAACAGGACTAAAGTAGAAAGGAAACCTGATTTGAAAGGTATGAAAATATCTGTGTATTCATTTTTTATGATGACTTAGGACTAAAGATAGTATTGTCATTGTTTATGAAAGAAATTTGGTGAGATTTCTGTTGTTTTATGTTTTGCTTGTTATGCTTTTCTGTTTGTTGTCCATCCTATTTTGTAGTAATGATGCTTTTGCATTTTGCATCTTCTCTATTACTCTACGCTAGGTATATTGGTTTTGAAATGAGACTTCTTTTGTTTGATCTTGATGTAACTAATGCCACTTAATATGATATGTTGTTGCAGCTGAGAGAGAAGCGGTTAATGCAGCAGAAAGAGCAGAGAGAAAGTAACAGCTGAGGGAAAAAGTAAGCCCCTTGTCCTTTGACTGATTTTTCCTTATTTTGTCAAATTGATATTGGCTGCATCAACTTATGGTTTATATGTGTATGCTATAGAACATGAATATCCTAAATGGTTGTAGCATGAAAATAAAATAAAAGTTATCAATTATCCAAAAAAAAAAAAGTTATCCTACTTGATTTTTCTTAGGATAAAAATTTAGTTATATGATAGTAGATTCATGAAGCTGAGGCAGGAGCTAGATAAATTATCCTACTCGATTGAAAATTAGTTATACCATAGCAGATTCGTGAAGCTGAGGCAGGAGCAAGATAAACTATAAAGATTAAAGGATATAAATTGTCATTTAGTTAAATATATGTATAATGTTGTAGTTCTATATACATTATAATACACTTGGATTTTGTTTCTTGTTCAGTTTCTCATACCAAATAGGCAAATAAATATATGTGCTAATAAATATGGTAAATGGCTGGAAACTATGGTCAGAATGGCACGATGTTTAAATGAACTTGAGTTCAGCTTTTCTTTGCTGCTACTATGTCAGATATTTGCCTTGAAAACCTGAACTTTCTATGGTTGTGTTAATAAGGCCTATTCAATACTTATTATAGGTGCTAAATGTTGAAACATATTTTACAATTCATGGATTGTGATCAGAAAATCTACAGATTATAGTCTGATCCTGTGCACACATACATGTATACACACATTCTTATTTCGATATCTAAAGTGAAAATCTATTTGGCAGAAACGACGGGAGGAATTGGAAAGGCTCGAAAAGGAAAGACAAGCAGAGATAAGAAGCTACAAGGGTCTCATGGTGTCTGAAAAGATGACATCAAACAAACAAATTGCAGCGACAAGCAAGTCTTTGCAGGAACTTGAAGAGGATTTTATGTGAAACATATTGGTATTTCAATGCCAATTAAGATTCAACTAGCTGCGAAAAACAGTTTGTTGTTACTTTTTGATTGAAGGCTTGAAGTTGTTTGCCTCATGAACAAGTCACCTCAGTCCTGGATATTTACTTCCATCAGTTTTGATAAGAAAAATAGACAACATGGAATGGAAACCAACTTCAAGGAGTAGAATGAAGTCAGTGTTGAGGGTGGGGGAGATGAACTTCTGTTATAGTTGCAATATATTATTACTAAACATGATTCAAATCTCCATTGTCTGTTAACTTGTGATCTTTTTCCATTCTATCATTTATTCAGATAGCAAATTTGCAAATGGTCATGCTATGTACCATGGTCTTGATTTTGTTTTGCTTACGTTTATAACATAAACTCACTGATGCCATCAGGGGATGCAGGATGGTTGGGAATATGGGAGTTTCAATCTTCAGATGAAATGTTAACAACCGTATACGATTGTGCTGAGTACATGTTCAAGAAAAACTATCAAGATTGATTTTGGTTTGGGTGATGGTGTTTTTCCTGGTCTTCTTTCTTGTCTTGTTTCTTGTTTCTTCTCTTTTAGTGAGAGATTTTGGTTAATGTATCATGGAAATTTGTTGGGATGATGAGGGAGGTTCTAAACTTCTAATAGAGAGCCTTCAAAAAGAAAAAGAAAAAAAAAAACATAATTTCCATGCGTCATAAAAAGGAAAAGAAAATTGACTTGGGCGTCCCGTCAATAGGTAATTTTATGTTGACGTGGCATAGGGGCAAAGATACTTGGTAGAGGGAAGTTCGTGCGACAACGTGAACTCCCTTCTTTGGTCGTGTTAAACAGTTAAAGTTTCTGAGTTCAGTTTGCGATAAAAATAGAAACATACTTAAAAAGACCTACCGTATTACCCCCAACCCAAACCAACTCCAAAACCCTAAACACCCACTCGCTGACTGCCTCTTTCTCTCTGTCTCAACGCTTCGAACTTTGTTTCTCTCAAAAACTTATCGTAACAACAATGGCGACGCCTTCTTTGGGCGAAGATACTGCCAAGGCTGTTCTTCGCCAGGTCAAAATCCTCCTTCCCCCCCTCCCCATCTTTTTATGTTTAATTTCCTTTTACTCTTCAATCGCTTCAAAATTGATTTTGTATAGCATTTCTTTTTCCTTTTTAAAATTATTTTACAGGTAGAGTTTTACTTCAGTGATAGCAATATTCTGAGAGACGATTTTCTCAAGAAAAAAATCAGCGAGAACGATGATGGCAGTATCCTTACTTCAATCTTTTCCCATTCTTTGAGTGTGAAGAAATTTTCTTAAAAAAAAATCATTTTGATGTCTTTTTATTTATTTGTTTCATGGTGCTTCATTGTTGATCCTGACTGTGAATAAAAAGTGGTAAGTTTGGCATTGATTTGTTCGTTTTCAAAGATGAGAGGCCATTTGAATTTAATGGCTGTGAAGGCGGAAGATGTGCCTGAGGTTACTCTGAAAGCCGTTGCTGAAACCCTCAGAACTTCCTCTTCCCTCAAGGTTTCTGAAGATGGTCAGTTTTATCAAACTTATAGAAAAGAATTGTTTTTTTCTTCTAAGCTAAGACAGAGAAGTTTTTTTTTCTTCCCTTTTTTTTTAAAAAAAATTGGGTTTGTATCTTTCAGGGAAGAGAGTTGGTAGAAGCACTGAGCTATTACAGCCCGATGAATTGATAGAGCAATTGGACAATAGAACAATTGCTGCGTCCCCATTCGAGTACAATGTCCAGAGGGAAGATGTAGAAGCCTTTTTTGGTCAATGTGCTAAGGTATTTGCTCAATGGTGGTAATAGTTCTTCTGTTATCAATTATTTTCTTGTTTGATTACAATGTGAAAGCCAATAAATTGTTTAGGGGTTATCTATATGTTTGCAGTTTAATGAAAACTGATTATCTTCTTACTTATTATAGGTTAATAGTGTGAGGTTGCCTCGTCATGTGGCGCACAAAAGGTATTTTTGTGGCACAGCTTTTATTGAATTCTCAACTGAGGAGGATGCCCAAAAGGTTTTGGAGCAAAGCTTGGTTTTTGCGGGTGCTGAGCTGGAATTAAAACCAAAGTAAGCTAACTTGTGGCTGTGCATTTTGTTGCCGTATGTTTGCCTAATGGTGCCATATGGTGAAAAAGATATAAAGCGGTATTGGCATTCTATGTAGGGTTCAAGTCATCTCTAATGAATGAGAATATGTAATCAATTTTTCGTATATGGTTGATCTGGGTGTTGCTTTGGGCTAAGAGGTTGTAATTGCTTTTACAATTTATTTTCTGGCGTGAAGGTTCTCACAATTTTCATTTCAGGAAGGATTTTGATGCTATAAGAGAAGAAGAAGCAAAGGAGTTTGAGGGTAATCATCCAATCACAGGTTCAAACGAATCAAAGGCAGAAGAAAAGTACGTAATTAATCACAACCTTGAACTGGCGCTAGTTTTTCTTGCCTTATGCGTGTAACCAAACTCCATGTAATGATTATGACAGATACCCCAAGGGCTTACTCGTTGCATTTACATTAAAGCACATTTCAGCTGGGGACCCTGCAGAGCCAAATGCTTCTGATGAACATTTAAAGGATGGTGCTACTGGAAGAGGTGAACAGAAGACTACAGAAAATGACAATGACAACATAGAAAAGGTTGATGATAAAAATATTACATGGAGTGACAAAATGGACATGAAAAGTCCCATTCAAAAGGTTGAAGACAAGGAACATAAATCCGTTGCATCTGTCTATAAAGATGATATGAATGTTATTCTGCGTGAGGATTTGAAGGATGCTTTTAAAAAATTTGGCACTGTAAAGGTATTACTGAAATCAGTCTCTCTTTTCTTGATCATTTAACTGTATTCTTCTTTTTAATGTTTTATAGTTTTACATAAAATGAATAACTAAAAACTAAAAGAAAGATTAAGTAATAGACCTTGTACTAGACAATTGTTTCTCTATGTTCCTTATTAATTCAATATTTCTTCTTTTTTATTACTTCTTACCCATGATGCATGTTCTTTTACATGTAAAGTATGTTGATTTCAAAGCTGGAGAGGATAAGGGTTACATTCGTTTTGATGCACCTGAAGCAGCCCAGAAAGCTCGAGCTGCTGCAGTCCTGTCTAAAGAAGGTGGTCTGGCTATCAAAAATTTCATTGCTTCTTTAGAACCGGTAACTGGTAAGGAAGAAACAACTTCCATTTTATTTCATTTAAACCTTATTTCAAACTTTTTTTGTTGCATGCAGTGTAACTTTTATTTCTCTTATTAGTGGAAGGTTTCATTAGGATGGTTACCCTTATACCCTGTGGCATTTACTTGGTGTGTATAGTTTAGGAAGCGACATGGATCACCGTGTTATTTCAGTGCTGATCTTTTTATTGACATTTTTATCTTTGCATATAATGGGAAAGTATGTATTACATGAGAAACTGACGACTTCAGGTCAAGATTACCTGATGCATTAGATGAGAAATTGATAATGAGCTGGATAATGTTTTTAGGTGATGCTGAGAGGGAGTATTGGAGTCTACTTCGTCGTAACCAAGATAAGCACCGGGGAAACAAGCGCTTTCAAGCAAGGTCAGTTCCAATGCTCATTCCACAGCTTTGCTTGTTCCTTTGGATAAGCAAACACCTAGAATATCCCCTTTTTATGTTCTTTCTTCTATTTAATTCACCTGTTTATTTATTTATTTTCTTTTTTTCTATGCTTCTTAGGGGAGGAAAACATGGCCGGGGTAGAGCAAATAATTCTCCAGGATGTCGTCCAAATAAAGCTAGAAGAATTGGAGCAGCATGAGAGTGATATACGGACGTAAGATGGGTTGAGATCATATTTGTTCCATAGCTTGAGGATTTTGTTGGGAATAAGCCATGGCTGGTTGTCTCTTTCTGGTTTAAGACTTTAAGTTAGCCATAAGTTTTAATAGTTGCTTTATATAACAGGTGGGAATATATTTTTGTTGCTTGAATACTTTAAACCGTGCTTTTTGATTCCCTTCAAAATTTCAAGTGTCTTTTTTCTCCCAAATGCAAAAATGAGTGTGTGAAGTCAAACATTGTAGTGACAGACGTGAAGGACATTATACCGCATAGCCACTTTATCTTTTGCAATAACATCTCCAATAGTTAACAGTGAAGAGGGATATGAGGTGGAAAAAAGTTCCTAAAAGGTAAGAAAAACACTTGAATAGTACCTTCATGTGGGGAAAGAGGCACGCCATGACAAGAGAGAAAGTAAGCTACTCTGTTTCTTTCCACTATATAAAAGTGCAAATAATCCTCTTAGTTTTCCAGGTTTCTTGACTATATCAACAGGTTGAGAGAACAGAAAGATCAGAAAGAGATGCAGGAAGGTAAAGCGGTGATTGAAGACACAGACATGCCCTTGAAGATTCTGGCTCAAGCCCTTGCTTCTGCTTCTCGGGCTCTTGATCTCTATGAAGTCTTTGACTGCATTGCATTCGCTGCCTATATTAAAAAGGTTGGGAAATCACTTCAAACTATCCCTTTTTCTCTTTTTTCCCCTTCACAGAACTTGGATTAATTTTGTTTAGCACTACAGGATTTTGACAAGATGCATGGGCCTGGATGGCAATGCGTGGATAGCGTGGTGGGTACAAACTTCAGTTGTTTCTTCAACCATTTCAAAGGAACCTTCATCTACTTTGCTTTGGAAACTCTCAACTTTCTCATCTTCAAGGGGATCTCTTCTAATTCTACTTCCTCGTGAAGATTACTTTTGCTTTCTCATCTTCAAGGGGATCTGTTCTTTTGTTCTCTTATATATTCAACTGGTTTTTTCATGTTCTTGATGATCTAGTTTGATGGTGATAGTGGAAAGTAATCAAGACTGAAAAAAAGACGATCCTTATCAGATAGCGAGGTGGCATGTTTGGATTCTTCCATTGTTGGATGATAAATCATTTAATACTTAGAAGCGTTGGATGATGAATCATTTAAATACTTAGAAGCTGCATGTCTATTGTGTAAGCATATTTTTTGTTTGTTTATATAATGATAAATGATGATATTATTATCACTATTTTGCAGTTTCTCACATGTGGAGAACTTTTAGGCAATTGCTACTTGCTACTATTTCTGGGGCTAAATTAACAAAATTATACAAGGAAATCAAACTGATAAAGAAGAACATCTGTCGTTGTGGATAAATAGATGGGCATCTTTCTCTGTCTCCACTTTGATCTCTTTAATTAGAAAGCTCAACTTAATTGATTACGATTATTAAGATAAGTATTTTACAAATTTTAAAAAAAATGGATTAAAAATAATTTTGGATATTATTCTTGAAAATGTTTGGATACTAAATTTAATAATGTAAAGAATCATCAACCCACTAATTTAATCTTATGGTTTTGAATTAATCAATCTCACAAATTGATACTTAAACTTAATACTGTCTTTTTCACTTTGATTTTTAGGACATGTATAAACTAAGAGAAATAGTATTCTTTTTTCAGGTTGTTTATTTCTCTTGAAAATTAAAGCCAAAACGATATTAAAGGAAAAAAGATGAAATGCTCCATGCAAGATAGAAATATAATAACACAACAAAAACACTTGAAATTATGAAAATACAAATAATTCATTATTTATCTTGGATTTGATTATATGCATATTTGTTGTCAAAGCTGGTTTTCATGGGCTAATAAATATATATCATGAAAAGTCATTCGTGTATTCAATTTTACCCATTCTCTTCAATTTCTTACGATAAAAAAAAAAAAATTGACTCTTCTTAAAATTATCTACTATTGAAATATATATATATATATATAAACTGATTTAATGAAAAAAAATCCTAAAACTATGAATTTTATGTTCAATTTTCATCATACATTATTTTAATTTAATTTTATGTTGGCTTGAATATAATTATAATAATCGATGCATTTTATCCAGATAAAATCACTTTCATTGGATTTTTTTTTTATGTAATTTTTTGCATCACGGTATCTCGAGAAAGTTAAGAGGCATAAGCAGATTAGTACGGTATTTCATGCTTAATTGAAATTATTTTAACAAGAAGTCTAATATGTGAATGGCAAAAAAAAAAAAAAAAGAAAAAAGAAAATAAATTTTGGCCGTTGAGAATTTGGAAAAGAGCCCAAGTATTGGACGGGAGCGATTCAACGTGGACAAATCCTGGCCACCAAATCCCAAGCATGTTCGATCTTTGACCGTAGGGTTTGAAACGCCATGAGTCCGCCCCTTTATGTTTGAAAAGCTACCGTTTCATTCGCTGTCGCTTCACTCTACTCCTTCTTTTCTTCTTCGTCTATAATCTTCACTGTGCATTTGCAGATCTCTATCTTTTCTTCACATCTTCGATTGGATCTGCAAATGTCCGCCTTTTCCACTTCCTCTCTCATCCGGTTCTCTCTTTCTTGGTTTTCGAAGCTCATTTCGTTGAGTGCTTTCTTTTTTCCTTTTTTCTTTTTTGTATCCCATCTTATTAATTTGAAGTTTGTCCTATCGATCCTGATGTCTAAGTTAAATACTGATCAATTTGCTTTAATAACTATCGGTTCTTTATCCAATTTCTGAGTTGTTGAAAAATGACTGAATTTTAATTTTGATCGTGATCTAGGGTTTGAATTTCAGAGAATTGATCGTAGATTTCAATTAATTGATCTTTCTTTTATTAACTTTTAACTCGAATTTTCTATAAATTTTCAAATCGTTGACTTGTGACTTTATAATTACTAGTATAAATTTTTTTTTTTTTTCTTTTATGTTAGTTTGTTCGGTTGTTTCGTGGGGAGGAACTTTCAAGTTAGCTTGATTTATAATGTTTTGGAGAGCATATTGCGGAGAGAAGCGTTGTAGAGTTGGAATTGGGGTATGCAGCTTTAATCATCTACGAAGAAAATATGGAAGGTGACAGAACAGTATCGACTCCTTCAGTTGGACTCAGCATTGGCGATGGTGCTCCGAGAATGCGAGCTCTTCATGGGTATTTTTTTTTCTTTTAAAAGCATGGTGAATGCTACTTTTAGTACCTCTTATTTGAAAATTTGAGAACCATTAGTGGTTTTTTATGGTTGCTCTTGCCCTCCCTCCACAATGTTTTTTGTTTCTCTTACTGAAAGTGGTATGTTCATTTCATAAAAAAATTGGTATGTTCTCTTACAAGAAATGATTGTTTTATGTACTGCTGAGTTTTGCTGGCTTTGCAATCCTTTTGTAGGAGGACTAGTGGTCCTACAAGACGTTCCACAAAAGGACAATGGACAGCTGAAGAGGTACTTTTCTTTCCCTAGTTTATGGTTTCATTCTTTTGTTATAAGACTATACCTTTCTATAACGTTATTGCTCTTTACGTGTCATGTATTATTGTGTCCACTGTCCAGTAATTTTTGTCCCATCCTTTAATACAAATATTATTTGTTTCCCTATATATGCATTTTCTTAAATGATTTTCCAAATTGAAAACATAATTATATGGGCTTCCAGGATGAGATTCTGCACGAAGCTGTTCAACGTTTCAAAGGAAAAAATTGGAAAAAGATAGGTATGATTTTCAAATTGAAGTGGCATAAATGCTTTCAGTGCATCATTTCACGTGATCTAATTGTAAGCTGGTTCATCTGCAGCGGAGTGCTTCAAGGATCGAACTGATGTGCAGTGTTTACATAGGTGGCAAAAGGTCTTGAACCCAGAACTGGTTAAAGGGCCGTGGTCAAAAGAGGTGATATTTTTGCTACATATTTTTTCGCACAATTCCCAGAATTTGATAGCGCTTGACAAAACAAATAGCTTTTTCTTGATAATTAATTAGTTTGGTGTTCTGAGTTACTTTTGTGAAATTTAAACAGGAGGATGAACTAATAATTGAGTTGGTGAACAAATTTGGGCCAAAAAAGTGGTCTACCATTGCTCAGCACTTACCTGGACGTATTGGAAAGCAATGCAGAGAAAGGTGTGATGATAGAGCTGTTAATTTTAATATGTTAACCCCACTTACATTTGGAACTTTGGAAAAGTCCAATGAGAGAGGGGGAGTTTGAACATTGGAATGTGACCTTTCTTAGGAATGGTAATAACAGCTGGGCTAAACCTGGTCGCATTGGTTTAATGCTGTTGATTTTTAGCAGTTTGTGACAGGTTTTCCTTCAGGGATGTTATTGCAAACATCGTCTCTTGGATTTTATAAAAGTATTTTGCTGTCATAATATGCTCCATTTCTCCCTGAAAATATAAGGAAAAAAATGTTTTACATTTGTGTTCATACAAATAAGTACTGATGTAGGTGGCATAATCATCTCAATCCTGCCATAAACAAAGAGGCATGGACTCAGGAAGAAGAGCTGGCTCTGATTCGTGCTCATCAGATTTTTGGGAACAGATGGGCAGAGCTCACAAAGTTCTTGCCAGGAAGGTATGTTGACTTATTTTTTTAGAGAGGCCACACCTTTCCGTCAATGTTGTGTCGAGGTTACCTACATTTGTCTCTTATTCTTGTTACTTCCTCTTGTGACTGCAAGTCATCCTCTGATGTTTTGTCTAAACTCTAATGTTCTGTTAATTAGAAGCCTTTTATTTTTTTTTTGCATTTGAACTTAGCCGTAACTTGTTTTATATCCATCTTTGTATGGTAACAGGACAGACAATGCAATAAAAAATCACTGGAACAGTTCAGTAAAAAAGAAATTGAACTCTTACATAGCATCAGGCCTTCTAGACCAATTTCAATTCCCACTTCTTACAAATCAAAGCCAGCCTATGCCTTCATCTTCTTCAAGGATGCAAAGCAATGCAGATGATAGTGGTGCCAAATGTAGAGCAGAAGCAGAGGACATATCAGAATGCAGCCAAGAATCAACTATAGTTGGTTGCTCTCAATCTACAAGTGATTTGGCTAATGCTTCTGTACATAAAATAGAGCAATTTCACTTGACTGAAATGCCTGGTGTGGCAAAGGAGAAGAATTCCAGTTCAGCACCTTGTTCAGAAGAGTATTACCCATCATTGGAAGACATCAACTTCTCCATTCCAGAAATACCTTGTGAAGCAGGGTACCCTATGGGTGGGGATTACCAGTTTGGTTTACCAGACCTACCTAATATTTCTCCTCTGGAATTGCGGCAAGAATCATCAGGGTTGCCAACTCACTGTGTAGACGCTAATGAAAGCTGTGAAGTGATGAATGTTGCATTTCAAACTTCTGTCGGATTAAATGATCCTACATCTTTCGTAAACTTGGTTACAACCTCTGACAAGCCAGAGCATATGTTGATAACTGATGATGAATGTTGTAGGGTCCTATTCTCGGAGGCAGTGAAAGATAGATGCCTTGCCTCTGAAAATTTTACACAAGGATCTAATATGGTTGAATTGGGTGGCTGTACAAATACATCAATTTGTCAAGCTTCAGACATCCAAATATCTGAAACTGGAAGAACTCCACCCTCACAATCTAATTGTCCTTCAAGGTCTGAAGTATTGCCAACCTCATGCTGTCAATCTTTTGCGTCTCCTTTACTTCTTTCGGTTGAGGATGGTACACTTATGTACGGCGGAGAGCCCGGTCAGTTAAATGGTCAACCTTATGGAACTCAAGGGCAAGAATTTACTATGAATATGCATGATGGCTTTATCTATACTAATGATGATCATACAGACCTGCAAGAGCAATTGTACCTTGACAAGGATTCTTTAAAGTTGGTTCCAGTGAATACTTTTGGTTCAGAATCAAATGCAATTCAAACTTGTCCTACTGTGGATGACAAGCCAAACTTGCCTGCAGAACAAGATGTTGGAGGTCTATGTTATGAGCCTCCTCGATTTCCAAGCTTGGATATTCCATTTTTCAGCTGTGATCTTATACCGTCTGGCAGTGATATGCAGCAAGAATATAGTCCCCTTGGTATTCGCCAGCTAATGATGTCTTCTATGAACTGCATCACTCCATTTAAGTTGTGGGATTCAGCATCAAGTGACAACAGTCCTGATGCTGTGCTGAAAAGTGCTGCCAAAACTTTTACTTGTACACCATCTATATTGAAGAAACGGCATCGTGACCTACTATCACCTTTATCGGAAAGAAGAAGTGACAAAAAGCTGGAAACTGACATGACATCCAATTTAACCAAAGATTTCTCTCGCTTGGATGTTATGTTTGATGAGGGTGGGGCTGCCAAGACATCTCAGGTGTCTCCATCTGAACATAAAACCAACTCTGGTGTCTTCATTGAAGAAAAAGAAAATCTGTGTCAAGCATTTGATATGGAACGAGCGAATGGGGGAGATCACTCTGAATCTTTAGATGATGAAGCTCAGAAGAAAGATTCTAGTGGAACTAATTCCCAAGGAAACATTAAAAAGGAAGCCTACGATATTGATACCAAGGAAAAATCTGATGCTGATGCTTCTGACAAAATTGTGAGTTCTTTTTTTTTATTATTTATTATTTTGATATTAGTTTTCTAGCTTAACGTTCAGCTGTCTGATTAAATCCCTGTCGATTTTTTTGGTACTAGATTCTTAAATGATAATTCAAACTAGAGTTGGAGTATTGAGGGATCTGGAGCTATACACAAATAGTGATTGTTTATTTAACTCAGATACGAAACTGACTCTTCTATGTGCATCTTAACCTTACACTGTTTTTTCTTGTGTTTTTATGTTGAAAATCTTGGTTTTAATTCTTCTTTCTCTATTATTGTTATTGCATCTAATGTTGAATTGATTTATTATTTACTATTTTCCCTCTCTACTTTTGACAGGTCCAACGGCTTTCAGCAGTGCTAGTTGAGCATAATTTAAATGATCTACTATTGTTTTCTCCTGATAATGTTGGCCCTAAAGCAGACAGACAAAAATTGTCTTCAAGTGTGCGAACTCCAAGAAATCAGTATCATAAAAGCTTTGGAGCTATATCAAATCAAGGTTTTGCTTCTGAATGCTTGTCGGGAAATGCATGCATAGTTGCTAGCTCTCCTGCTCTGAAAGTAAAGAATAGTGAAGGCCACTCAATTGCTGTCACTACAGTACAATGTTCCAATTCATCAGCAACCCTAGAGAATTTGGTTGATAATACTGGGATTGATGCTGTTATTGAAAATTATAATATGTAAGATTCCAATTCCAACTGCTTCCTATTGTCATTATATTGTTGTAGTATATATTGTTTTGCTATTCGGTGTGCTTTGTATGTCAAGAGCTGCTTTGCTATTATTTCTACTTCAAATGCTAGGATAAATTGATTGGTTGCTTATGAGTGGCTTGCTTGATGTGGACTGCCAGATTTGGTGAAACTCCATTCAAAAGAAGTACTGAATCCCCGTTAGCATGGAAGTCTCCTTGGTTTATCAACTCTTTTGTTCCGGGCCCAAGGGTTGATACAGAAATAACAATTGAGGTATAACAACATAACAGTCAGTTTTAGAATTTATTTATTTATTTATTTTTATGCTTCCTAATAATTGGAATTCCTTTCCAGGACATAGGATATCTTATGAGCCCTGGGGATAGAAGCTATGATGCCATCAGGTTGATGAAGCAATTAAGTGAGCATACTGCAGCTGCTTATGCTGATGCCTTGGAGGTTTTGGGAAATGAAACTCCGGAATCAATTGTAAAGGGAAGACGCTCCAACAATCTTAAGGTGGACAAAGAGAATAATCAATTGGAGACGCAATCACATTTGGCCTCAAATATCATGGTATTACTGAAAAACCATGCTAAACATCCTCTTCCTTTGTTATTATGGAGCAATTTGTTGACAATAATATGCGATTCTTTTGCAGGCAGAGCGTCGAACCCTTGATTTTAGTGACTGTGGAACCCCAGGTAAGGGAACCGAAAATGGGAAGTCGTCAACTGCTGTGAGTTTGTCAAGCCCCTCTTCCTATCTTTTGAAAGGTTGCAGATAGTAGTTTCTTTTGGCTAAAAGCCTCCCATGTTTGTAGTTTATATTATATTATATTATATTATATATATATATATATTTCATCATTTTTTTTATCTTTTCAAAATTCTTCAATTTGTTGTCGAAAGAGAATGGATCTAATTAATTAATTGATAAAACATTGTTCAAGTGCATAAAGATTCTCCAACTCTCCTCACTTTTTCCTGTGTCCCAATGAGCTGGTGGAATTTTGGTCAGCCTCGGATCTTTCTTTTACCTCTAATCATGAGCTGTTTCGGACAAAAGCTAAATACAATTTTTTTTTTCTTGCCACACTAAAATACAGTTCATCCTTGTATTTTCGAAGTTATGCATACTTTCATAAATGGTTTTCCATGACAAGGAAAAAATCATTTGTTTATATGCTATCTTAGCCATTGAAAGGTTTGTTTGTTCCTTTTTTTTTTTTTTTTTTGGTGGGTAGATTGAATGGTTTATCTAATAAATTGCTTTCATTGACAATGAAACGAGGCATAAAGTGAATATTCAACCGTAAAGAGATACAATTATTATTGAAGAATAACGGAAAAGTGATAAACAAATACATTGGTGTGATTCACAGGAAAGGCAGTTTACTCGTAAAAGTTGCTGTGTGCAGTGCTCAATTTCTATGACATACGAGTAACGGCATCATGAATTGCATCAGCGAGATGAGGAGCGGTCTCAGAGCTCAGACCTATCATGCTAATCCTCCTGTAAACGAGAGAGAATATGTAAAATTACTTGAAACGGAAGGAAATTCAAACATGCAAACCAATTATGGAAATGAGGTATGGGTCAATTTTTAAATGGTTGATAAGGTAAGGTAAGATCATAATCCAGCAAATGAGAACAGCCCAATTTTAATAATTGGTTTACAGACTAAAGTAATGGAGCTTCTTAACCTATCAGAAGTCATGTAGATGTGGTATTCTCTGTTCATAAAGGCTGCTTGTTATGAGCTCAGTCCAGTGAAGGTTTAACATTCCAATTTGTTTGATAATATGACTCCAGTCACCAGGTGTTCCTGCCAAGTGGAAAAGAAAAGTAAATGTATGAAAGCAACATATACACGAGGATGAACCTTGATTAAAGGTAGCTCTCCAAGGTTTAAGTATATCTTTCATGTAAACTGCAAGGCAATGTGTTTTAACAGAGCAAAGTAACACAAGAAATTGCAATAAGAGAGAAGGAACTTTGAGATGGCCTCTAGCCCGTAAAGCATCAGAAAGTTGTTGGCGCATGCTGATGATACGGTCAGCCATTGCCTTCAATTCAATAGTCCATTCATTGTACATTTTTCTGTTGGTGAAAAAAATAAAAAATAAGGACATTCATTTACGAGTAAGAAATCCATTTAAAAAGAAAGAAAATCAAAGGAAATAAAACACTAAAGCAGGATAGCTGATTGGAATCTGCAAAATCCATTATCATTGACATTAGCCTGCAACTGGTTGTTTAACTTTGACACATACACACAAGACAAGACAAAGTTCTTGCAAGCTGAATGATGCAGGAAACATCCATGGGTGATGGTGCGTGCCTGTCCTTCAGGATGGTAGCCACAAAGATGCACCATGAATTGGTGGATTTGAAAACATGGGCCAGATAACAAGTTTCACCTGGCTCTCAACCCTGAATGCTACGTCAGCTGTCTTGCAGACCTATTGACAATGAAATTTGTGAAACAATCAGAATACCACAAACAACAATGCTGAGAAAGATAACTTGATCTACCAAATCACAAATGTACAACAACGGTGTCAAAATCTTGATACCATGACTTGTACAAAATGAAAAAAAAAAAAAGCCGCTATAAATTAAAAGATAGCAGTTTAGTGAATACTAAATTTCATAGGCATCAATCTTAGAATCTTACGACGCTTAGTGCACCGACAAGTTCCCCATAGAGGCCCTTGTTCTTCGTGTAACTCTGATCGACAAATCATTCACCACCATCAGCAACAAACAGATGAACCGACGGTGCATCTGCATCCGGACTTCCACTAGCAAAACCTTATATTAACAATTAGCATTTCAATCCTCTTTGAAATGATAATAGCAGCAATATCAAATAGCGTCATTCAAAGAAAGGTAACAATGCCTTTGATCTCATCAGCCGCCTAATTTGCTCCCACTGCTGAAGGGTGGGATCAACACCAGTGGGATTGTGAGCGCAAGCATGAAGAAGCACAATAGAACCAGAAGGCGCGGAACCAAGGTCATCTAATAATCCTGTTAGCCACCAAAAAAAAAAAAAGGAATATCATAATCAGGAAATTAACACGGTAAAACTAAATCTAAAAGATCCGCATCGGATGCCGAAAAAGGAAAAACCAAAAGCAAGGTGTGCATAATCAAATATAAAGAACAATGATCACAACAGCTTTAAGTACACAATTTTATTGATGCAGTTAATGATATAAACAATACACACATCTATAGAAGTTTTCATACCCTGGAAATTCAATCCACCGGATCATAATAGCGGTAAGTTTTCACAGATAACCTGCCAAAGTAAAAATCTAGGGGTGGTTTCCCCATGTTGGTTGTGGAATGTATATAGTACGCTGCAAAACAACACACAAAATTACAGTACAAAATGAGAATGAATTAGTACTATTAATTTGGCCAAAGATAAAAACAATACATAAGTAAAATAAACAAGAAGTTTACTTGATGATAATGCCTAGCCAAAAATTCACCTCCAACTCTGAATGAACCGGTTCCAGACAAACACCGAACTGTAGTAACCCGATTCTCTCGAACAGAAGGGCTAAATTTAAACCGGAATTATATTATAAAAACAATAAAATTAATGCAAAGTTTGATAACATTAAACATCAAATTAACAAACCTGTCAGCACCAAAAATAAGATTAGCACTAAGTTTATTAAATTCTGCTAATCCAACAATGGGAAGATATTCCTTAACACGTGACCTGTCGTTGACCAACATTTGCTCTGCTTTTCTTACCACAACAAGAACGAGGGCTTTCCTTCCTGTTACCGAAGTAAAAACTTTTAACTTTGCCAAAAAAAAAATTCAACCTTTTCTGTAAAAGACAATTTTTTTTTTTTTAGAAAATAAAGGAAATTACCTCGGTTCGATAAGCATCAACTCCTAAATTCAACTTAACGGGGCTGGGATCTTTGTTATATGTAACGGTCACCTGATGAGCAAACGGTACGGATTAACTGATTGTAACGGCTTAATATATTTTGAGTATAAATTATAAATTTACAAATAGAAAAGAAAAAAAGAGATTGAAATTGTTAACATATACATAATCCGACAATGTGATCTTCAGGGGCGCGAACGACGTGAGAGAAAACAGAGTCCCCATGAAAACCGGAGGTGGGAGAAATTGTTACGGTGGTTTGAGACTCCATCAATGTTAACGAGGTTTCAAGGTGTCTGAGCAGAGAGCTTAACTGTCGATCGGCCGGCCAAGAAGAGGAAGAAAACGTGAACTCGGGGCGCATGTTAGCCTGTTGGTACGTTTGAATGTTCAATTTACGCCTTTTTTGGGGGTCTTGGGTAAATTTTGGATTTGCCTACGGAAACTGATAGTTTGGTTTAGTGTTTGTATAAAGAAAGAAGGAAGCAGCGGCGAGTGATGCTTGCTGTTATCTGGTTGCATTTTGTTGATTGAAAGGGGTCCACACTGTTCTTTGCTCAAGAAATAGATATAATGAAACAATAATTGGGTATGGCACGTTTGTCAAGGTGAAGTTATGTTCAGCCAACGCTTCAGGCTGAATCTGATAATAGAGTTCCAAAACATGGGCAACACTGGAGAATATTATTATTGATGTAATTTCTAATAATCACAACATTTTTTCATGTTACTACTATAAAGAGAATCCAATATCATTTACATTCTCAGATACACCTAAACTCTTCTGTGTTATTTCAGAAATACTCGTTCATTTGGATGCGTTTCCACTGTTATCAACAGACCTAAACATCAGATAAATTCGAGTTCAGTCATGACTCAAGCAAAGTTATGATGGCACCTACAAGTGATTTGCTAGTTTCTGCTCCACTTGTCTAACAACAGGATTCATGCCACGAACGAAGCCCATCCAGAAAATTGTTTCCATCAAAGAAAAACAAGCAAGTGTGATTTAAGGAAATGCTCATGAAAGTTAATTTCTATTATTTATGCATGACTGTAGCAGTCACTGACCTGCATCAACAGCCTAATGCAACTGATTGCTATGGAAGGCTTTTCTATTTGACTAGATACCATACCTGAAAGAACCAGCCTGGCAACAATATCATGGCTTCATTTTACCGGTTAAAGCTGGTGATAAGAAGGATCGCATTGGAGTGCAAAGACTATACAACCCATGATAGCAAAGCACATTTTTTAATTAGCATCATGCCAAAATCTTGAAATCATAAGCATTCCATCCTGAAAGTGTACTTGCAGTGATCAATGTGGGTGAGAAATATCAATAAAATTGTCAAAAGTAACAAATACTCACCTCTGGTCGATAAACACCAATCGCCTTATTCAGGTTGGGGTCCTTGTTGCAAGGAACTCTTCCTTTTTATACAAGATAACAGCATTATAAAAGAAAGGACATCTTAATTCCTGAAGCAACAAAGAAAACAAAGAAAGGGACTCAAAAAAGGAGGCAAGACACGAATATTAATTATTAACTTCGAAACACTTCTATTACTAGACAATGGTCAGAATTTTTGGAGCACTTGGCTTCCCATTAATTTAATAATGGTTCATTTATTTCAAAAATTCACATCCGCTTGACTTATCTTCTAACCCCTATCTATCTTTACATTTCGTATACCTGACAAGTGACAATCGTCATGGTGGATTACAGTTTCAATCTTATAGAGACAGGTTTCTACCGAACTTGGCCACACTTAAGAACAAATTTTTTTACATAAATTCCAGACAGATTACGGACAATTTTGGAGCAAAATAGTCAAAACGCAGTTGAAGTGTTGAAACGATCTTTCACCAGGTTGGAATTTTCAGTTCCTAATCAAGTAGTTGCTAATATGTCCAACATTCCACAACAAAATTTAGACTTTTGAACACAGAACAGTAGAGTGTTGACAAGTACAAAGAATTTGCTGCAACTTTACTTGGAAAAGCATAAAAAAGCCAGTACCGCTTAGACTGGAATATCAGTAGCCGGAGGAACATTATGACATAGAGAATCGTCATTTGAGTCAGTTCTGGTCGTTTCCTTAGGCCATGGATACTCCATGAGAAACATGATGAAGGAGAAGCTAACTCATTGCAACAAGTCTTGTCTTCATATGGTTTCTCACGTGGAAATGGGCATTTAGCAAGAAAAAAAGAAAAAAGGATATGATTCTGCTTCCAACATAACCCATCACAAAGTACCAAAAATTTTTGACATTTGTGTTATTTATTTGTAACAAAAGTTTAACCAACAATAGGTCTTCTTTGGAATTGCATTCTAAAAACCCTTTTAATATATGACAACAAGCTTTGTCTTTGATTCCCTGTGCGTAAAACTTCACATCTGCCGCAAATTAGTCTGGTGTTGTTGAGAATGCCAGAGCCAGTTCCCACCAGGAAGGATCTGGTAAAATCGGGTATTTCTGAATGCCCGTTCTGGGTTATTCTCTCAATGCCAATAGTCCACAGAATTATTGCTAAAGCAATAACACTGACCTGCAAAAACACATCAGCTTATTTTGAAGACAAAAAACGACCTCTAGCTTCCATTTTTTTGGAATCATCCGCCAATTAATGGTCTTATATCCTTGATTTGTATGCAAGAACAGATAGGTCACTTTCAAGCTTTTTTCTCGATTAAAGCTTGAGTGGTCTGAAAATGATTTTTCAAGAAATTGGTTTTGTTTCTATAATGTTGTAAACATATTTGTGGGTATTAACTACAGTATCGTTACAAAAAAATATGCTTTTGTACCAATTTTCTATAAAACAAGCAGTGTTGTGTTTGATGGAAATTGAATGTACAAGGACAGCATGGATAGATAGGATTACCTGTGGTACTAAAATCAAGAGAGCAATCAACTGACACATCTTCTCATGGAAGATAAAAAAACTCTTGAAATCTTCATTACTCTCATCAATGTATTTAGATATTAGCTGTCACAGAGGAAAGATGATGGAAGATTGGAGTTAAAGAACAATGGTTGACTAATTGAATGAGCTTATTGTGTAGCAACATTAAGAAAGAAATGAGTTCAAAGATATCATCAAGCCACCATGACATTAGCCTTAAAAGAGATTCAGCTCGAACCATACATGTAGTAACAATTAATTCAACAGCTTAAATCGAATGTTTAATCCAATGAAAATCAGATTTTTCACTTTCAGAAAATGTTGAAAAAGTTAAGCTGATTGATTGTTCATATGTGAAGCCATATTCAAACAGCGGTATCAAGAAATGCATCATGTAATTTGACATAGGTGTTGAGAGAGCATACCGAAATCCAGTCATGCTTGAAGAAAATTGTAACAATCACAGCAACTTCCAGGGAAAGAAGGGAGCAGACGCTGAATATGTACTAAAAGCTTGGTTTAGGAATAGCTTGGTGAACACAGAATATATAAGAAATGAGGAAAGCAACTTCAGTGCCATCTTCTCATAAAAGTTTCTATTAGCAATTAATAAATGGGTTTAACATGAAAATTTTACTAATCTTAACTCTATAAAAAGGGGTGTTTTGTTTTGGTTTTTTTTTTTTCCTGACAATGATTGCCTTTAAAGTTGAAACATGAAATGAAATCGTCAGAATCCTATCTATTTTTCTTCCCTGATAATGATGGCAAGTACTAAAAGAAATCCGAGCTCTCTGGAAAGGATACTATGCAAAGGATAGAGTTGCCGATACAATTAGAGACCATGTAACTGAATAGCGTGCTCAAGCAGACAGCAATTCCCACACCTAAACATGTATATATAAACCTGTTAAACAGAGGCAACGATATTTATTCAGAAGTTCATTGAAAATTAAAGAAAACAGAAACTTTTCGAAACAAGACAGCCGAATGGCTTCATAATAGCAAACCGATGTATAGTCTCTTCTTTACCTACTCTAATAGTAATTAAGAGCCATTACAAGTTTTTAAATTTGGTCTTAAAGGCAGCAAAGTTCGGGAGGCAATGAATTCTAATGTTTTGAACTAAAAAAGAAGCTCGTTGATGTTCAAAGTCCATCTCATATTCTACAGGAGACAGTTAAAGACATCGTCGTGTTTCAATGTTCAAGGGCTAACATGGGCAAAAAAGAAAAGCACCAAGACGTAACTATATATTTAAATAATTCACAGTATAGGCTGAAACTGCCAAAATAATAATAATAATAACGGAAAATTTTCCTTAACCCTATAAGCCCAAAGCTGTGCATAAGAAGAGAAACTTGCTATTACAAACTGATCAATGAAAATAATAGAACGTGATCAACATATATAGACCAAAAAGAAGGGTGGGTAAAACAATACTTCAAGTATGATAGACTAAATTAGTTAGGGAAAAGAGCTTACCATGGCTTGGGAAGAGATGAATAAGAAGGCAATTCAGCAGCGCCGTCATTCCACCTTTTTTGGAGCCAGAGGGAGTAGACAATAATTGCAATCCCAAGAAAATTCATAATGAGGTTTACTATCTTCATTGTATAGTGCAAACAACACCTGCCGCACCTTGTCATAGCTGGCAATGGCAGCTACTGTTTTTGTTCTGTGATTCGACTTGAGTATAGTTATTGAAATCGCTGTTCGTATGCACGGATGGACTTGCCTTTCAATCTAAGAAACCACTGAACGGAGCATATATCTATCAGTGTGGTGGTGGCCGCCAGGTTAGTTGAGCTGGAGATGAAGAGAATGTGTTCATGACAAAAAAAGAAAAATGGTAACCTTAGCCTTAACCTTCCATATTTGACTGGAAAATTGATCTCTTGGCAAGTTGGCAGCCACACGTTGAATTGATGGTGAGCGAGGTAGTGATGAACTGATGATTGACTCAAAGTCAGAGAAAGGAAGTGAGAAAGATGGACTAAATGTTGGTTGATGGTTACGTTGAAAGTTAGATGGTTTGGTAACAATGATCGTAGCGTCAAGATGATTAAAGCAAGGCGGGTGTAACTGCCATTCAAACGTGAAACAAGCAGCTTATCTCTTCTGCCCTGTAAAACGCAGACTAAATTTCGAAAGTCTTACTACTACCACTTTGGTAGTGGATGATAGCCCTTAGGAGAAAGGCATTGTTAAGTTGAACCGATTTGAATTCCCCTTGGCCATATTCAAGAATTTTTAGAGTTGCTTCTTGCTCAAAAGGTTTTAGAAAGAGGAAGGGAAACATTAAGTAGCAGTTCCAAAGATTTTCATCTCATGCCCTTGCCAAAGCTTGTCAGACCCATCTGTTTTCCATTAAAATTATGACCCATTCCAAACATGATGCACATTCTATGGTAGTTTAAATCACAAACTGCCATTCTTTTTGCGTTGTAGCACTTGAATGTTCAATTGATTGATTCGTCTGTAGAATATTACAGCATCACTCAACAAAAATTTCTGGCATGCCAGCCATGCATAACTGGGATAAAACCCTTTGACGCTCTTACAGTGCTCTCTCAGAGAACTATTTATATCTTAACTTGAATACGCCACGGTACGTGAAGAACTACATGAGACCTGAAGCCATCAACATTCCACCAATTCAAAAGAAAAAAAAAAAAAAGACATCAAAATGCCATATAAATAAAATAAATTCTCTGCTACGTAGTAAAAGTAAAACAATCATGTAAAATCTGTCAACTCCTTGCAAGATAACCAGACAATCTAGTCCAGCTTTATGCGATCCATATCATTTATCACTCCTTCAAGCTGTAACAAAAAGTACAAAAAGATTACCAAAGTAGAAACTGAATATCCATCCCCATATAATGTCATGTAAACACACACACACACACACATATATATATAAAGAAAAAGGAAAAGAAAATATACCATACCTTGACAATCTGACGCAAGAAGTAATCACCATATCTTTTCACTGCCTTGGATTCAACAACATGAATCATGTCCTGCAGCAAAGCAGAGTGTGTGACTAGCTTCAAACTAACCTCCAAAGATCAAAGAATTCAAGTAATGTTTGGTACACAAGATCATGATAGGATAGATAGGATAAGATGATATTATAAATAAGACTAAATTAAATAATGTCATCCTATCTTATGTTTGATGTATGCAAGGATTAAGATAAGATAATTTATTTATTGATCAAAATTATTCTTCTTTAAAGTTTATAAAATTTAAATTATTGATATAATTTTTAAGGGTATAATAAGACATGTAACTTTAATCCCATGGATTTAAAAATAATTCTCTCCACTTTGAAAGGATTGAATCATTCTATACCAAGAGAATGATAATCCTCCTTTTAATTCTATCCCTTTCAATTAGATACAAACCAAACATAATATAGAATGATTATCATACTATCATATCCATCATTCTATGCACCAAACATGACCTCAAAGCCTAATATAATATATTGAAACCATCTACTGATACAAGTTTGAATTTTAATACATATTTGCTAGCCTGAGATTAAAAAAACTTGCTAGCATGTCCTATCTGTATCTGCAACTAAGAAGCTCTAAATAAGACATGGTGACTTAAAGCACATTTTCTCAGCAGCACAGAGATACTTGAATAAGCTAAAAATTAACATACATCATCAATGTAGAAGTCCACATCAGCATTACTGATAATCTTTCCATCAGAATCAACTGGATGAGTTTTGTGCTTATATGTCAACAAGACAGTCCTATAAAACATGACGCAAGGTCAGTACATCATGGATACTAAATTAAGCATACATTTAAAACAAACAGAAAGGAACAAGAGGAAGAGGAAAGAAATGTCCACCTCAGACTGGGCTCATCCACTTGTAATTTGCAAGCTTCCCAAGAGATATAGTTGAATACACTTTAAGAAATGTCCGGATGCCTGATAACAATTGCTGCTGCTTCACTTCATACAGAAACAGCTTCAACTGAAGTCTGTAGGCATCCTGCAGGATAAATAAATGAAAGTAGGTAAAATACACATAAAACAAACAAAAAGAAAGGCTAAGGTAAGAAGACCAAGCTTAAAGAACATGCCAAATGACCTTTTAACTTCCCTTCCTAGAAAATAACCAAGTATATGAACTTAAGATCTACACTCTCTCCCAACCTACAACCAGCATTGTCTAGGGGCTGGAGCTCCATCCAAAATAGGTACAATAATTGCTGGAACAGACAGACAGATTGTGGAAAATTAACCATCTACTAACATGCAATGAACCAACATTCAATATGCCTAAGCTCTACATCCACATTACTTGCGAATCTAGCAAGATAAAATAGCAGATATGTTCTTTCCATACCAACAGTCCGGGTGCACAACCTCTCAGTTCAAAGAATTAATGCACAACCTGTTGCCTGATAATTGATTGATTAGAAGGCAGCTATTAGCAATAAAAGAAATATGAAAGAGTCTAAATACAGCAATTAATTAAATGATTTAATTAATGTACTTCCACCCAAATCATTCTCAAGATTGCCTAGAAAAAACAAAACCATTTACCTGGTTGTAATTTACAAGGGGCTCCTCAAAGCTTGGAGATGAAGGTGTAATGAACTTGGGACATGCATAAGAGAAGAGCTCATCATAGATGGCAAAAGCTTCATCATCATATCTTTGCATCCTAACCATCTTTTCACCATACTTCTCACGCAATCGAGAGTTCACAGTTTCCTCAACGAATTTCACTTGGGGACAAAGTGAAAGACAAATCGCCAGCAAGGCATACATCTGTTCATTCTTTTTCAGTATTAGTTCATACTGTGGAGAATTCTGGTGATATTGCTTTGTCTTGTAAATATAGAAGAGCATCTTATTGAATTCATGAATAGCCTCCACATACCTTTACTAAAAAAAAACTATCATCATCAAGCTCAGCTAAAAAAGGATGCAATAATTGAAATTGAATAAATCTTCAGCAAAGAAAGCAAAAATTCATATCACTATAAATTAAGAACACATTACATGGTAAAACATAGCAAAATGAAAACATACCTCCTCAACATAAGATTGGCAAACCCATAATGATATATGGTTGTAATATGACTTCCAATAACACTGATGTAAACACCTTGTTGACTAATGTCAATAGGAAGTAAGCACTTCAGCCCAGTTAGGTAATCACCCAAAAGACAATGAACTCGCAAGAGACCCACCATACTGAAGTATCCCAACACCTTCAAGGCATTGCTTCCACCACTGTAATCATACCCATCAGTAGCAGTAAATTGTTCCAGACCCTCCTTATCCTGCTCCAATATCTGAATAATATTCGATTTCTTGACAAACGCTTGCAAGTAGTTAAGCACCCTATACACATTCCATGCCTATAAGAGAAAAAGTAACTCCAAATTCTCACAACAATAGCAATAACTACCATCAAATTACATTATTCTGTTAATAACTCTCGAGGAATTGGATTACCTGATCATATTGGCCGAGAAGAGCGATTTCTTGCTCAGTTTTGTTCTTCATTTTAGCCCTGTATTGACAGAAACTCTGGAATTGGTATACGAACTCGTCCACCATGTCCCATAACCATTGATTTGGTAACTGCATGTTAACAACCCTATGCAACACCACCTAAACAAAATCCAAAGCCCAATCAAATTAATCCAAGCCACATAATAATAGGTACTGCGACCAATTAAAAATAGTTAGCTGAAAAAGGTTACAATAATTATCCCAAGAATCGATCCTCTGCTTGAGAGTGGGGGAAAGGCGAGCATAGAGGTGGCGAAACCACATCTCACGGTAAAGGAGGCAAAATACCTGGTCGTTGTCGACGTAATGAGCAACGGCGTCGACGGAAGGCCAAGAAGTGTCTTCGAATAGACGGTCCGAGAGGGTTTGAAATGAGATCTCGTACATCTCTCGTACACATTTTTCTCGCAAATGTGACGGTATAGGTGGACGACAAACGACTTAACGGAGTCCGGTACGAAATTCGGGTCGTAGCCGAGGTCTTGGGGGTGCGCGTCGTCGTAGGTGGTTGAGGCCTCCTCGTACTCGTAATTTAGTTGCCATCGTTGAAGAGAGACTGTAATATGAATAGAATATGTTGAGGAGATGGGAGACGAGGACCTCAACGAAGAGATTTGGGAGTATGGACTGTCGACCGTGAACGAAAGGTTTGTGAGGCAAGAACATGTTAAGATTTTGGGCTTTCAATTTGTTTGATTCGAACGCCCAATCTTAGTCGAATCCAAAAAGCCGGTCTGCAGTTGGGTTCAATTAGAAGCCCAGTCCAGTTCTACATTTTGGGCTTTGGCACTCAAAATATTGCCTCAGCTATATAGACAAGAGAATCTTATTCTTATTTTTTAATTTCCTAAATATAGATGTCACCTGCACGGCTGCAGCCGGCCCGAATTGAGAAATGACGTGAAAAGAGCACCAAAATCAACTGATATTCACATCAACAAAGAATGATAAAGGCACAATCATCTGAACAACCTTGAATGGTTTCTACCATTACCGAATTTTGAAGTTTTGATAACCCAGTCGGCTCGCACACAAGCTGTACAAGAAATTGTGGTTAAAACCCACATGGCTCTTTCATGACTAAGGCTCAAAACACAAGATGACAACGAGTAACTGTGGTTAAACTATTCACAAACCATGGAAGTCACCTAAGCGGAGAGAAGCGATGGGCAGCACAATCAACCGGACATCATGATTGTCACTACAACTAAAACTCTTCTGCTCGTGAGCTATTGGTTGTGCGAGCTTCCATACTCCAAAATTGAATCCATCTTCCTACTGACAGCAAGTAGTGAAATCCCCAAAAAAGTTTGTAACAGAACTGACATGATACAGAATCACACTCTGCCTGTTAGAACCTGTACGTGTTATATGAGGCGCTTCATGATAGTTCTAAGGTTCATCTTCTTCATCAGAAGATAGGAGGGATGATCCCATCCATGCTTTAAAGCCTTCGTTAACACGCCTTTCCACATCTGGGTTGACTTCCGAAGGGTTAGCCTCCAACATTTCTAAACCAAGATTTCGGCTACCAAACTCTACTTCATCAAGAATTATGGCTGCTCTCCTTCTTAGGAAGATGGCAGTTCCTGCATATAGAATCACCAGTCCCCATGAAGAAATCTCATAGCACCAAAACAAGGGCAATGAGCAGCTACTCCCTAATGTGAGGAGGCTTGAACCCAAGAATATAGCAAGGAGACCAAAGATGATGGCAAAAACCACGTTCAAAATAGACAGGCAGCGAACTCCACCTATAGATTGCAACAAAGTTAACATGGAAACTGAACATTCATTCTTTAACATGCGCATATATGAAAAAGAGTAACATAGTGACAGAGATACAGCAAGAAGAAAATAATGGTAGTCCACTCGACCAAAAAGAAAGCCTAGAAATTGAATAAAGATATCTATTCAAGCTGCTAATTGTGTTCATAGCTTTAAAGAGCCAAATTTCAATAATTTAGTTTACACTAATTTTCAGAAGGATGAGCAAGACAAATAAGATGCAGGTTATTTACTTTGAACTAGTAGTTAGAACAAATTCAAATTCTATCTTCCTATTTCTATTCAGCAAGCTGATAACGTAGGCTGTTAGGCTGTAGCACCATTTGCCTCACAACTTATACTTCATTTTGCAATTAAGGAGTTTACTTTGAATCCCCAAAACGTGAGCAGTGAGAAAACAACTTTTATGGAATTATAATGAAACTCGAGCGAACCAAAATTCCAACATCAATTAAGAATTCAACTCAAAGAAATGAGAAATAGGGCATACCTCTTTTTGATGCACAGTAATTATTCTCAACCACCTTTAAACATCCATGCCTAGTTGGAGCAGAATAAGCAACAGTAATTCCTAAATCATGACTAAAATCATTAGAGTATGAAAGAACAGAGATCATAGTTGTATCAAGATAACACACCAACAAGACAGCATAAATACATAAACTAAATCAAAAATGACAAGGGGTTATACACAAACACAAGAAAATTCAAAGACCCAACATCACCATAGCAACTCTTGTAAAATTTTAACACTAGAGAAACCACCACATAACACTAGTCAAAAAGAAACAGTAGCCATCAATAAAGGAAACATAAAATCATCTGAAACTGAATAACTTGCATAACAAACACAAATTTCTAAATTCAAGTTCCGATATTCTTGGTCCAGCTTTAACCTCACATTAACAAAACAATTTCAATATTACAAGACCATACACTTGTTACCCAAGATTTATGCAAAGCATTTGTAATAGAACCAACGACTAATTCAAGAAGTTATGTAAATCAACCATTTGCCACCTGGAACCTAACTTACACCAATGACACCAATGAGAGAAGGGAGACCATTCAAGTATCAATTCATTTCAAGAATACTAGACCAGACAACCATTAAGATCCTCATATGCCATTGAGCTTAATTTTCTTACAATCCTGTAAGAATTATATTTCCTCTATATTCCCTTTCACAATGAATGAATTACAGGAGCCATGAAAGTCCTTCTCAAATCTCCAATCACAAACTTCTAATACTAAATAATAAACAGAGAGTTATTTTTATAGCTTCTCTAATTCAAGATTCAAAGCAAATCTTCATCTTTTCAAAATGCCTCTTTTTTACAATATGCAATTTTGTACCCTCCATTCTTTTCTAAATAAGATCTCCAAAGAAATTTCACAATCGCAGAACATTTCGCATAATAGAATCAAAGCGTAAATAACAGAATTTCTACTGACCTGCCACAAGATACGCGACCGAAGCCAAGAAAATGACCATAGATGGGATAAAAACAACCATCCAATAGTAATCCACAGTCTCTTGATCCGTCAAATAAAACGCTCCGGGCAACAGATCTGAGCCGCCAGCGCCTCCTCCTTTCACATTCAACGGCAAAGGCTGCAGTCTCTGGTCGTCGCAAAACAGTCGCTTCAAAACATCTCTAGGAAACACAATCTCCAAGCTTATAATTGTGCAAACAAAGATTGCGAGACAAATGATCCCTATGGAACCTATTAAGATCGGTCTTTGTAATCTCGTCAAAGCTTTGTCCTCCTCCCTTAGGCTCTCGTACTCGTGTTTCGGCATAAACGCTTGCCGTAGCGCGTCTCCAATAATCTCCATGGAAAATTTTCTTGGAAAACCCAAACTCAGTAGGAATTCAAAATTAGGGTAATTGGAGCTAGGGTTTTCTTAATCTTTAGGTACTTCTACCTAACGCGAGAAAATAAAAGTCTAGGGTTTTCAACAACCCTAATTGCGTACTTTTGAATCAAGAAAGAGACCTAATTTTCAAAAGGATGGGAACGAATTTGATCGAAATTACCGATCTTGGGTTTCAATTTGGGTTCTTGAATCGGAGTTAGAGAGGGATTTGGCGGTGCGGCGCTGTTTTTCGGTTTTGAGAGGCAATTTTACGCCATTTTTCTGGGATTTGGCGCGATTTCTTGGGGGAATACAGGTTCGGTTCCCAACCGTACGATTCGAGAATGGTTATTTATGTAATTATGTCCCAGTATTTCTAGTCTATGGGGTTTTGAATTAAGATAATTTTTTTTACCCGTACATTAAATTTATTAAATTATTGACAGGACTTATAACCCTAATAATCATTGAGAGATTATGAGAATTTAATGGAATTAATATACACTATGAATTATGAATTTTTATTTAGTAATAATTAAATATTAGTTATGTTTTTCAAATTTTTTTTGACCAAACAAAAATTATTTGCTAAAATCTAAAGCTTTTAATGTGCTTCATCTAACTTCCATTTAAAAAAATATATATTGTGAAATGAATAAAACTTATGTAATGAGAAAACATCACCTAAATTTTCTCAATAGGGCAATATCTATAAATGAGAAATTTCTCAAATTTATAAACAAAGGTTCTAAAATTTTTTTGCTGAAAAAATTTCTCGTATTATAATAAAAAAATATTGACCTTAGCATGTTTTATTAACAAAATATTACATTCTTAATTTTAATGATAAAATTTAAATATTAAAAAACTCAAATATAAAAAATTTTGATAACATCAAAATAATATACTATAAAGAAATTTTTGTTGAAGTTGTGAAAAAATATATGTTAACATGAAAATGATAAAAATATCAAAATAATATATTTGAAATTTTTAATAAATTTATACATAAATTTAATAAAAATTAAAAAAATTATATTTTATTTAATTTATTATAATATGATAATTTTTATATTTTATATGTTTAGTATAAATAAACATAATAAAATATACAAATTGTTCGAAATAGTATACGTCATTGCGATGGTCCATGAATCTTAGTGTGCGCCACGCGCCATTAAAGAATGTAGATGCTCCCTCGGTTTTTCACTCTTTCGAAATTGGAATCCAATCTACTAGAACTACAGTCAACCACTTGGCATAGTCTACTAACAGGAATGCACATCTTTGTTCTTCACTCACTCAACAAACAGAATCTAATCATCCATAACTTAGCTTCCATGGCTTCTGTGTCAGTTTCTTTCCCAAAATACATGTCCCATATTCCCACAAGACACGCCGGTCACTTGGCTGAACTATGTATTGTTCCACGAAATCTTTCACTCATGAAACAAGGGTCTGTCAGAGAATTGAGAATCGTTAGAAGTTCTAATCAAACCGAACCTTTGATTGGTTAGTGTCTTTTTATTTTGGTAAATTATTTCTATTCATTTCACATTATTTGCTCATAATGTTTGGTTTGTTTCATATAAATTCTGCATTCTTTTTTCGTCAATTGCGATTGTTGGGTAATTTACTCTTTGGGGTATGATCATTTTGTTTTCTGGCAGATTGTACTAATAAACCATCAGATATTCCTCTTCTGTCTTGCTCAGAGGTTTGTTTTTTTGTCTCCTTTTGCTCTTCTTAAAGAGTCTTGATCTTGTTATATAATGAGTTTCATAGGACGCAATTCAAAAAATAAAATTAAGAAATTTTGGAATCAAATTTGATGCACATTTAATAATGTTGATAGCTTGGTCTCATATGGGTTTATGGGGTTTACTATTTCATCAAGGACCAATAGGCTTAGACTTTTGGCATATTGAATCTTGATTGCAGAAAAATAATGGATCTGTGTTTTTACATAATTCTTTTACTCTGGATATCAATGATGTTTTTTCTTTTCTTTTTATCATCTAATTTTGGTTTGTTAAGGCTACTGAAAGGTTAAAACAAAACAGAGAAAAACACAAAGGAAAGCAGCAATTCCTGGCCATGTACTCTAGCATTTATGGTGGAACAGTAACCGATGCAGCAGCTATGGCGATCCCTATGGATGATCACATGGTTCATAGGGGGCATGGTGTCTTTGATACTGCTGCAACAATGAACGGGTTAGTGAATCTGTCAGCAGAACAAATCTTTTTGTCCTAATTTGGAATGGTATTATTTCTTAAATTATGGTGTCAATAATCATAATATTTTAAGATGCAACTTTTTCTACATCACTATGAAGGTTCAGTTGTAAGGTTGGGATTTCCATCTGATTTTGATCTTTGATGCCATTGTTACTATCAAGTTTCAATGACTTTGAAAGAGTCCATATGTTATATTTTGAGAAGAATAAAACTATCCTTAAGAATTTAGTAATTCTTTTTTAACAAGTTTGATTCATCAGCAGATAGATGATGAAAACATATTATAGTTTGATTGAACCAAGATTGAGTCTTTGACGTCAAGTGAATCAAGTGCTTTTTCAACCAAGAAGAGAAAATATTTGTAAGAGGTTTTTTACTCTTTATGAATTGTTAGAACGAAGAAGTTATTGCAATCCCATCTAACTGTTCTTTTTGTCTTTGCTAAGTGTACATTTGCATGTTAATTACGGTACTTATCAAGCTTCATCATGTGCTTTCCACATTTCAGATACCTCTATGAATTAGAGCAACATTTTGACCGTATTATAAGGTCAGCATCAATGGCAAAAATTGTTCTTCCATTTGATCGAGAGACTATAAGAAGAATTCTTTTACAAACTGTAAGTGCTTCTAAGTGTATAAAAGGATCACTAAGATATTGGATTTCAGCTGGACCTGGTGACTTTCAACTATCACCTTCTGGCTGTAACCAACCAGCTCTTTATGCAATCGTGATTGAAGATCAATCTTTGTTTGATTCAAAAGGCATCAAAGTAGTTACTTCATCGATCCCCATTAAACCTCCCCAGTTTGCCACCACGAAGAGTGTAAATTACCCTCCAAATGTGCTTTCAAAGATGGAAGCTGAAGAAAAAGGTGCATATGCAGCAATTTGGCTGGATGAAGATGGATTCGTTGCTGAAGGGCCTAATATGAATGTGGCATTCGTTACAAAGGAAAAGGAACTCTTGATGCCCAACTTTGACAAAATTTTGAGTGGTTGCACGGCTAAGAGATTTTTGACTCTTGCGGAGGGACTGATGACAGCGGGGAAGCTTCATGGAATAAGAGTGGATAATGTGAGTGTTGAGGAAGGGAAAAGAGCAGATGAAATGATGCTTATTGGCAGTGGAATCCTTGTTCGCCCTGTAGTGCAATAGGATGAACAGGTCATCGGCGATGGCACGAAAGTTTCCTTTTTGACATAAGTTGCATCCTTGAGTAACTAGTTTCTTGCATTGAAACGTGTCTGGATTCCAACTGGCTCGCATTTTATTTGATTAACACTTGACTTACATCATTTGTTCTTGACGGATTAATGCTTCCTCTGGAATTATACTATGTCATTAATCAAACAGCCCCAAAATATTTTATCCTGGAGCATTTTTTCCCTGTCAAGTTTCCTTCTAAGTTGTAGCCAGAGAACGTCCGTCCATTTTATTCCACTGTTTGTTCTGTGGGGTCAATCTTCTTTGCAATAGAAAGTGTTAGTAAAATTAAGAAAAACAGAAATAGTAAAAAAGAAAAAAATATGACTTTGAGGCATGAATAACACTATTTTAAAGGTAATTATGCTTATAGGATATAATAAATCCTTAAAACTCTTTAAATCAAAAGTAGTGAAATTGGTCAGGCAAAAAAATTTATTTATAATAAATGAACAATCACCAATCAAGCCAATTCAAAAAATATAACATTTTGTATAGTCATATTTTATTATTTAAATAAACTTTATTTAAACAGTCATGTTTTTCTATTTAAATATATGTATTCATACCATCATATTTTTTACTATTCAAACATATTTATTCAGAATCAGTAATATTTCAAAATAAATAATAATAATAATAATATTTAAAAAATTAAATCTATTTGTCAAACAAACCTAAGTGCCCAAATGCCTATCTTTGACTTTTAAAATTATCTGACCCACTAAGAAAACTCTTAGTAAGTCCAAATGACTTAGCCCACTCCAACACTAGCTCAATTACTTAAATAATATAAATGATTTCTTTTAAATCACATATAAGTGATCTTTCTACTCAATGTGAGATTCACCACATTTTAAATTACCAACAATCCCCTACTAGTTTGGAATGTTGGTGCTTAATCTTTAACCTTTCACACAAATAAATATTATGAATACAAGAAGGTATCTTTCGATTTAAACATTTGATTAGTGTATATACCTTAGAATTATAACAAAGTTGATGTTGTCTGCAGATTAAATCTCAACTCTTAGTGTTAAAATTGAAGATATAACACACATAATACTTATTTAATATTTTGTTAGAGGTTTATAACCGCTTTAGCACTATTATGGCCATGTGCTTATCCTTATTCATAAATATTTATAAGAAAATTTCCAATTTTCTTGTTAAAGTGACACCACTTTTATGTTTATATAGGTGAAGTTTTTTATTTATGTCTCTATTGCTATAAACATTTAATTATAAACTCTATTAAGAGTTCAATCTCATCCTCCACTTACACAATGGCTTATACTAGTATTCTAAATATTTAGAATAGGTTGACTAGTGTTTACAGACACATAACAATAACTTGTTGTTACCTATTAAACTTTGCAATTAAAGGTTACCAATTCAAAGTTAGGTTCCCATTATTGGTGTCTAAAAGGAATTTTAAACCCATTCCACTTGTGGTGCTTCTTACTAAATTTCTAGGTAGCGTCTTGATAAAAAGATCTACTAGGTTATTAGCATATTTAACATATATAATGGTAATTATCCTATTTTTTATCAATTTTCTGATATAATCATGTCTTAGACTAATAGTCTAGCTTTTTCATTATAAATTTTACTATAAGCTCTAGACATAGTAGCTTCACTATCACAGTACAAGGAAATGGCTGTCATTGGTTATGGCCACAACTCTATATCCATTAATAAATTTTTTAGCCATTCAACTTTCTTGCCTCCTACAGTTAAAGCTATAAATTCAGATTCCATTGTTGAATGTGAAATGCAAGTTTGTTTCTTGAATGCCCAACTAATTGCACCATCTCAAAGGGTAAACATCCATCTTGAAGTAGATTTATTGTCACGTATACTAGTGATCTAACTTGTATCTGAATATCATTTCAAAATAATTGGATCTCTGGAATAAAATAAACCAAAATCTTTAATTCTTTTAAGATAACATAGAACTCTTCTTATGGCTTTTCAATGACTTATACTAGACTTACATGTATATCTTGATAACTTGCAAATAACAAAAGCTATATCTGGTCTAGTATAATGCATAACATACATAATACTTCTAATAGCACTAGCATATTCAAGTTATGCAATTGTATAACCTTGATTTTTTGTTAATTTTATACTTGTATCATATGGAGTATTGGCTTCTTTTATATTGAGATACTTAAACTGATTAAGCAATTTCTCAATATAATTACTTTGATTAAGTATGAAACCTTTATTAAATCTCTTAACTTTAATTCTCAAAATGGTATCAACTTCATTTAAATCTTTCATTTTAAAATTAAAAATCAGATACTTTTTGGTTTCATTTATACCAATCATATTAGTACTAAAAATTAGCATATCATCCACATAGAGACATATTATAACTCTATATTTTTTAGTAAATTTTGAGTAAATGCACTTATTTGCTCCATTATGTTTAAAACCATTGGCTACTATGATTGAATCAAACTTTTCATGCCTTTGTTTAGGAGCTTGCTTTAGCCCATAAAGTGACTTAATTAATTTACAAACTTTATTCTTATTACCTGAAAGAATAAAACCTTCTGGTTGTTCCATGTATACTTCTTCCTTTAAGTCACTATTTAAAAAAGTTGTCTTGACATCCATTTGATGCATATGTAATTTATAAATGGAAGCCAAAGCTATAAGAACTCTAATGGATGTTATTCCAGCTACTGAAACATATGTATCAAAATAATCTATGCCTTCCTTTTGTTTAAAACTTTTTGCAACTAATCTTGCTTTAAAGGTTTGTACAGAACCATCTGTATTATATTTATTTCTAAACACTTATTTACATCTATAGGTTTAAAACCTTGAGGTAAATCTACCAAGACCCATGTATTATTGACATGATTGCATCTATTTCATCGTTAATAGCTTCTTTCCAAAAAGCAACATCTGTTGAAGTGATAGCTTCATTAAATGTTTTAGGGTTTTCATCTACATTTGGTAGAATTGGTGTTTTCTTGAGTACTTTTATTCTATTTTCTTCTACTATGAATACTATAGAATCTGAAAAAATAAAATCAAAAGGTAAAACATTCTCTTTTCTAGTTCTTTTACTCCTTCTAATTTCAACAGAATCATTACTTTCTTTTTTTTTTTAATTTCCAATCATAGGAATCATTTCAATTTGTTTCTCCATATCAATTTCAATATCACATATAAACTTATTTTCAAAAAATTCTACAAGAATAGATACGACAATAACATTAGTATTTAAATCAAGAAGTCTATATGTTTTTTAATTCTGTGCATAACCAACAAAAATACATTTAATATCTCTAGGTCCTAATTTTGATTTATGAGGATGAGATATTTTATAAAAAACAATGCACCCTCACACTTTAAAATAATTCAAATTTGGTTTTTTACCATGATTTCAAAGTTCATATGGTGTCTTTAAGAATTTTTTTTAAAAAAATTTTATTATGTATGTGGCATGCTGTTAAAAGTGCTTCTCCCTAAAGATTTAGAGGTAATTTAGCATTTAACAACACACTATTTACCATATCAACCAAGGTTTTATTTTTTCTTTTGGCTAAACCATTTTGTTATAGGTGCATAAGAGGCTGTCTTTTGATGAATAATTTCATTATCTTCACAAAAAAGAGAAAATGAATTTGAAAAATATTTGTCACCCTTATTAGTTCGAAAAATTTTGATTTTTTTCTCCTTTTAATTTTCAACAACTGATTTATATTCTTTGAATTTATCAAAAGCTTCATCTTTTGTTCTCATTAGATACATAAAAGTATAATGAGAACTATCATCTATAAATGTTATAAAATACATTTTTCCTCCCTTTGTTAATAAACCATTTAACTCACAAATATCCGAATGTACGAGTTCTAATAATTTTATATTTTTTCAGCTTTAGGAAAAGGCTTTTTAGTCATTTTTACTTTGACACAGATTTCACATTTAATGTCATGATTTTTCTGGTATGTTATATAACCATGTTTAGTCATATGATTCATTTATTGATAATTTAAATGTCCTAATCTAACATGCCATAAAGAAGAAGAATGTTCAACAATATAAGCAGAGATATTATTTATTTTATCAATACTTAGTTTAAACATACCATCATTGGAATATCCTTTTTTCTAATAAATACACTATTTTTGGAGACTATAACTTTATCAGACTCTAGTACAATCTTAAAACCTTTCTTACATAATATATTTGCAGATACAAAGTTCTTTCTAATATCATAAACATGAAAAACATTAAGTAAAGTTAGTTTCTGTCATGAGGTGAATTTCAATTCAATTGTTTCTTTTTCAATCACTTTGGCAGAAACATGATTTTCCATAAGGATGTTTTCTGGTCTCTTGCATTCTTCATAAGTCTTGAACTGCTCTTTGTTGTTGCAAACATGAATTGTTGCACCAAAATCTAGCTACCAATCAAATGAATTATTTGCAATAGCCATATAAACTTCGATGATCATTCTAATTTGCATGTCAGTCACCATTGTAACAAGTTCATTAATTTCTTGCTCAACCAGATTTACCTTACTTTCAGAACTAGAATCAATCTTAATTCCAACATTTTTAAATTTGTAATCTTTAATCAAATGTCCTTTCTTTCCATAATGAAAACACATTTTATTAATTTTGGATATCTTAAATCCATTATTCTTGACTTTGAAATTGCTTTGAAATTTACCAGAAGACTTGTGAGTTTTTTCATAATTTTGTTCACTCACATAATTTACATTGGAACCTTTAAGAAATAGTGCATCTCTTACATGATTTTTCATTTCAATCTGTATGTGAGTCTGAAATTCTTCAATAGCGAAAATATATGTTGAATGCATAACTTTCTTCCTATATCCATTCCAAGAAGAAAAAAGTTTTGACAAAATAGCTCTAACTTGAAGTGAATCAGGAACCTTAATTTCTAGCTCACTTAACTTAGAAACCAAAATTTGTA